GTGGTAATTAAGTTTGTGTGCTAACTTGGCTGGGCCTAGTTGAGTGGCTGGGCAGCTGGATGTAGTTATTCCCCATGATGAGACTGGTAATCAACTCCATGGTAGAATCTACTGTGAGCAGCTGAGTAGCTGTCTTGGGGATGTGGTTCACTTCCTGTATATAGGAGAAGCCTTGGGGAATGATCTCCAGCTTATGGTACACTTGAATCTTTCATGTAGCTGTGTTGCTCAGTAGCCTGCCATGCTCTGCCAACCTTGGAACTTTCAATAGACTTGAATCAATGGACTGCTGTATTGTTTGGTAACATTGGGACTGTGTCTTTTCACCTATTGACCTTGGGCTTATAAGCCTCAGCAACCAGTAGCTGTCTGAGTAAAGAAAAGCCTCCAGCTTCAGTGGGCTGGGAGCAAGAAGCAGAGCTGAGGCCCAAGGTTGAGGGGCTTTCACCCAGTCCCTAGAGCCTGGCACTTTGAACTTAAACTTCTAGCTTCCAAAATGTAAGAGAATAAACTCCTGTTTGTTATAGCCATCCTATTTGTGGTATTTCTGCTAGAGCAGTACTAGGTAACCAAAACAGGGAGACTGGGCTGGGTTATCTGGATGGGCCCAAGGCCATCGCAGGGGTCCTTATAAGAAAGACAGGAAGGTCAGAGTCAGAGAAGGAGGTATGACAACAGAAGCAGAGATTGGAGAGATGCAAGGCCATTAGCCAGGGAATGTGGAAAAGGCAAAAGAAACAGATTCTCCCCTAGAGACTTCCGAAGGAAGGCAGCCCTGGATTGCCTTGATTTTAGCCAAATCAGATCCATTCTGGATTTCTGGCTTTCAGAACTGTAAGAGAATAAGTTTGTGTTGGTTTAAGCCACTAATATGGTAACTTATTACAAGAGCAATAGGAAACTAAATCGGGTTTTCTAAATGTGCTACTAAACTCGGGTGCAGAGGTGGTCATTAGTACTATTACGATATTATGAGAATTTGCTAGAGCTCACTATGTGCTGGGTCTGTGCTCAACTCTGAAGCCGCACCATCTCACTGGATCCTCACAACAACCAAAGGGATAGGCTCCACTTTGCAGATGAAAAGAACGAGGCGCCCAAGATCCGCGACCAGTATGGCAGGGCTGAGACTTGCACCCAGTCACTGGTCAGGTTGCTCTTAATCACTGTGTGACGTGATTTCATGCTAAGAACAAACTTGACTGTTCAGCCAATAAAATACTGTGCAGGGCCTTGTCGTGGAACTGGGTGGGCAGAGAGAGAGGAGATAGTACACCAAGAAGGTGACCCCAGAGGCCAACATGTCTCCCCAGGCAGGCACTCCATGCAATCTGTATCCCTTCTGTGGTCACTGACAGTGGGACCTTCTGGCCCCATGGGGCCTCAAGAGGCCAGACCCCTCTCCCATCTGCCCCCTACCCCCACTCCACCATTGGTCACCCACCCCTATCCCTCCATCTTCCAGAGGCGGTGCTTCCTAACTTGATGATACCAGGACATAGAGACAATGCCCACATTGGCACACGACAGTGGGGGCAAACTGGAGGGTTTGGAGACATCTACACAGAGCCTAAGGAGCTCTGGTGTGTCACAATTATACAGGTGCAATCTACTTCCGTAGTGATACTGCCTCGGCAACCGAAGGAGGGGTCTCTACAAGTCGGGTCCGACGCAACGGCACATAACAACAACAACAACCAGAAGGTTGGTGGTTCAAACCCACCAGCTGCTCCACAGAAGAAAGATGGGGTAATCTATAAAGATTTTCCACCTTAGAAACCCAACGGGGGTTGCTATGAGTCAGAATCAACTCAATGGCAGTGAGTTTGGTTTGGGTTTGGTATATGGAACCTGGTGGGGGAAAAAAAAAGATTACATTTTCTTTGTCTTCTATAATTGTACAGTGATGAAAATAAAGCGCAAAGTCCTAAGAAAGTTATTAAATACTGAGTGTTATGGGTTGAATTGTGTCCCCAATTGTATTGAAGTCCTAACCCCCGGTACCTGTGAATGTGACCCTATTTAGAAGTAGCATCTTTGCAGGTGTATTTAGTCAACATAAGGTCATAAAGAAGTAGAGTGGGTCCTTATCCAATGTGACTTGTGTCCCTATCAAATGAGGAGAAGAAACACAGAGACAGATACACAGAGGAACGGATGCCACGTGAGGACAGAAACAGACGCTGAGTTCGGCTGTCACAAACCGAGGAACAGCACAGGCTACACAAGCTGGAAAAGCAGAAAGAATCTTCCCCCTGAGCCTTTGGAGACAGCCTGGCTCTGCAGAAGGTAGGCACTTCGTCTCCAGGACTGTGAGAGACTGAATTTCTGGTGTTTGAAGCCACACCTCATGGTAATGTGTCATGGCAGCCGGAGAAGCCTAATACTCTGAATTTACATAAAACAGCCAAATGAAATTGTCTGGATTTTTTAACATAAGAAAATTTGAACTTGTGTCAGTGACTACAGCTTTTTAATATCAAACTTCATGTATAAAATGACCACATGCAATACCTATTCAAGGTTCTTTAATGATCTCTTCAAATGTTTGAAGCATTCCCCCTACAAATAAGTGATAGATTTAAAATAAATTTTCACAACTGTGCAAGAATATACAACAGTTCAGATGATATTTAAAGACCCTAACGTTCCGCCTTTACATTCAATGACAAATGTCACCAAAATCCTTGTGATGGTGAGAACAATGGATTTGGAATTCAACCAAACTTTTTTTTTTTTTAACGTCAAGTATTTTTAAATAATAATCTTGAAGTTAGTTTGCACCACATGCTCATGATTGGAGCAGGCACTCTGCAGCCAATTTGGGGACTGAAAAAGGGCACATCGGCCACCAGTGGGGAGACATGTCTGGTATATAAGACAGAGATTCCAGGTAACCACCTGGAGTCCCTCCTGGCCATCCTGTACTGCCACACCCCCACACCCATCACACCTTGGGCTATGCCGGGCTCTGGTGGCAGCTCAGATCACTTGTCAGAATCTATTGATGCTGCAATAGATTCCAGGGCAGACACATCTTTGGCTGGATCTCCCTCATCCTGCTCTCCACCTGTCGGTGTTCTCAGGGGAGCCCCTGACAAGAGTCCTCCAGGAGCTACCAGCCTGGGGGCTCCAGTTACCTCTGGCCCAGCCTGAGTGCCTAGGGGAGCAATCTCCTTCCCCACCTGTATAGTTGTGACACACTAGGGTTTCTACCTGGACTGGTAGGATAGGAGAACCTGATCTGGCCAAAAGAGAAAGGACAAAACATTCCTCCACCCCTTCTTCCACTCTCCAGTCCCATGGGAGAGCTAGTGTGGGGTCAAATCCCACTCCTCCTCCACCTACAAGCTGTGTGACCGTTAGCGCTCACTTACCCTCTTGTCCTCACCTCTGCAAGATGGGAACAACAGCACTATCCCATCAGGTTGCATGAGGATTACATGAGATGATGCATGTAAAGTGCCTGGCACAGGGGAAGCCTCAGCAGATGCCAGCTGATATTGGTCATACACAGACACACACATAGACCCCAATATGGTTAACACACACACGTGCAGATATACAGACCAGAGGCCCAGAGCCACAGCCAGCTCACACATGGGCACACCCATGGGATACACAGATCCATGGCAGCATGGAGATACCCTGTCTAGGCTCTGCCTTGGCCCAGCTCCACCCTTTGCCCCACAGGAGCCATCTGGATGGAGCTAGATCTACTGGGAGAGCTACCCAGGCATCAGAGGGAGACTTAACCCCTCCTGCTTTGATGTGTGGGTGCTGATGGCTCTTGCAGACCACTCTAGAGGCCTAAGCCCTAGGCATGCAACCCCCCACCTAGGGTTTCCCTTTTTTATACAATCTGGAGGAGAGGAGGTAGGAAGAAGGACCAGGAAAGGGTTTGTCATCCACAACCCATAACACAGACACATCCACAGAGACATTGGCAGACCAAACACAAACCCCCATAAAACCCATCACCACTGAGTCAATTCTGACTCATAGTACCCCTATAGGACAGAGTAGAATGGCCCCATAGGGTTTCCAAGGCTATAATCTTTATGGAAGCAGAATGCCACATCTTTCTCCTGCAGAGCAGCTGTTGGGTTTGAAACACTGACCTTTTGGTTAGCAGCTGAGCACTTAACCAGCAGGGCTCCTGAACACAAAGATACCTACCTACTCACAGGTTCCAGCTCCTGGCCTTGCAGGGAGGAGACCTGACAACTTCTCAAATGCAAACCTCTCACTCTAACATGATGCTTTTTCCTCTGTGCCATGCCTAACTCTACCACCACCACTGCCACCATCCCATTGCCAAAGTCACTACTACCATCACCATCACCACCATTACTTCTGTCACCGCCATCCTCACCACCACTATCACCATCCCTCCATCCCATTATCACCTTCACCTCCATCAGCACCATCGCCACCACCGCCATTATCACCCACATTACAGTCACCACCATTACTGCCATCACTGCATCATACCCTCTTTGTCTGAACTGATGGAGAAGCCCTCTTGGATCCGGACACAGTGTGGACAGGCAGGAGGAGGGTGATTGATTCACAGAAGCCCAGAGGTTCAGGCTCTGGCCTCTGCAGCAACCCTGGGTTCTCCCAGACTCCAATCCTACTGCAGACAGCCCTCCAGACTGTGTCTGAGCCTGCCTTCCCCTTGCCCTCTCCCTCCCACATCCTGAGAATGGTCCCAATCAGGTGCAACCCTGTGGTTTCCCACTGCTAAGACAGCTCTGGAGAGAAACCAGCCAGACAAGTGAGAAGGGGAGGGGCAGAACTCTGGCTGCACCCACAGGATTGGCCAATCTGCACCTTCTGGGCCAGCACCTGATTAGAAGGTTCCTCAAAGGGATAGTGACCTCAGCTACTGCCCTGAGCCCTGTTGGTCTCAGCCAGGAGGGCCCCGAGTCATGAGGTGGGCACACAGTGGGTGGTCGTGAGTGGGGAGGAGGCCCACGGGCCCCGTGGGGGGCACGATGGACAAGTTCCGGATGATCTTCCAGTTCCTACAGTCCAACCAGGAGTCCTTCATGAACGGCATCTGTGGCATCATGGCTTTGGCCAGCGCCCAGATGTACTCGGCCTTTGACTTCAACTGCCCCTGCCTGCCAGGCTACAATGCGGCCTACAGTGCCGGCATCCTGCTGGCACCTCCCCTGGTGCTCTTCCTGCTCGGCCTGGTCATGAACAATAATGTGTCTATGCTGGCTGAAGAGTGGAAGCGGCCACTGGGCCACCGGGCCAAGGACCCAGCAGTGCTGCGCTACATGTTCTGCTCCATGGCCCAACGTGCCCTCATCGCGCCTGTCGTCTGGGTAGCCGTCACACTGCTTGACGGCAAGTGCTTCCTCTGTGCCTTCTGCACGGCCGTGCCCGTGGCTACACTGGGCAATGGCAGCCTGGCACCTGCCTTGGCTCCCCCCGAGCTTGCCCGCCTGCTGGCCCGGGTCCCCTGCCCTGAGATCTACGATGGCAACTGGCTGCTGGCCCGCGAAGTGGCTGTGCGTTACCTGCGCTGCATCTCCCAGGTGAGGGGGTCATGTGGCCTCGGGCTGGGACACTCTCTACAGGCAGGTTCCCTCTGGAAGGACTCTGACCCCTCACCCCTTAGAATGGGGCCTCCTCAGGGCAGTCGTGCCTCCCCATCACACTGAAGTCCTCCAGACAGGACTGAACCTTCTCCCTAGATGGAGCTCCTTGGAGCTGAGGTTGTTTTCTGAACTCAGACAGGGCTTCTGAAGGCCAAGCAGGTCCCTTCCCTCAGAGAGGAGCCGCCTGGGGAAAGCACTGTGGTTCTCTCAGGCCAGAGGCTTCTGGAGAGCAGGTCTGTCCCCTATCCTGAGGTCCCCAGAGCCAGCCCCACATCCTCTGTCCTGAGCTTGGAAGCCTGGGAGAATTTGCATCCTTTTGCTCTCCCAGGCCTAGGCAGTGGTGAGGCCAGTGGGTGGGGGGGGGCATTTGGGTACATTTCCCTGGCAAATGCCTCCAGCTGGAGTTTCCTGGCTTGGGGAGTGGGAGCTGAGGGTCTGGGTGAGGGATATGACTAAAGCCAAGGTGGAGGTGCTCAAGTCCCAATCCCAGGTTCTCCCAGCCCTGCTCTCCCATCCTCTCTCCCCCCTGGGCCCTCACTAGTCTAAGCCTTTCCAGACTGCATAGTGTAGGAGAACAACCCAGTGACATGTCATGCAGCCGTAGGACCAGGGGCTGTCAAGGAGAGGACAGGGGCCTGGGCCTGCCCTCTAAAGCCTAGAGAAACGTGAACACTCTGCTTTGGCAAGTCCAGACACCCCTGGCTCCCCATCTCCAGCCAGGACCCCACTAGGTCTCCATCAACCCTCAGGTGCCCTGCGTGGACGTTACACCATGGGCGTCTGACATCAGACTGCTTCTCCTCACCCTTCACCTCCCCTCCTGTGGGGCCCCTCCACCATCACCCCAGGCCTCAGAGTCCAGGGCAGCTGGCCCTCCCCCTGACCTTAAAACTATCAAGTCATAAGCTGCAAGTCCCCCCAGAGGTCCCAGGCTGTCTGGCCTATGCACCTGTTGCATTTGGCCTTCAGTGATGTTAAACTTTAGCATGAGTGGACAAGTCCAAAACCAGAAAAGTTCACATGAAAATCAGATTTCCAGCTTCCTTTAAACATCAAAAGATCCAGCCCATCGTGCCCAGGCTTCCTCAGGGAATAGCAGGGGGTAGCGCCCCCACCCCGACGGAGCACATGCTCTTGCCTCCCCTCCCGGAAGTCTGTTCTGCCATCACCCTCCCGTACCCCCATCCTGATCTGGCCAAACGCTTCTCTGGGGCTTGACTCTGGAGCCCAGGTTAGGGGAACCTGCTGCCCAGTGGTATTGGCGGAGCAGAGCTGGAGCCCAGGAGCCCTGTGCTCTTCGAGGTAGAGTTTGAATGCTTGATCCCTTGAGGGCCCAGCTCAGAGCCCAGCAGAGAGGAGGTGTTGAGTCAGTGCCTGGAGAGTGAATGGCAGACAGGACCAGGAGCTGAAGGAAAGCCACAGACTCAGAAAAGGAAGGGTCCCTATGGCCTGGGAAAGTCAAGGAAGGCTTCCTGAAGGAAGAGGCGTGGTTAGCAGTGACCTAGTGGCATCAAAATATCTAACTGGTTACAAACTATGTACCAGACACTGTGCTAAGTGAAGGATCACATTCAGTCCTCACAACAACCCTAGGAAAGAGACGCTATCATCAGCCCCATTTTACATGTGGGAGAACCAAGGTATAGAGAAGGCCTTGCTCCTGGTCAACAGGCAGCCTTGATTCTAGGTTCTGCCCACTGAGCACCAGGCCTACACACCAGGTGCTTTACATACAAGACCTCCTCTCCACAAGGAAGGCACATCTACGCCCATTTTACAGATAGGGAAATGGAGACCAAGAGGGAAATTCACTTGCCCAGCCAATGCCCGTTTCCCTAAAGGCCCTGACATAGCGTGCTCAGGTGCAGGGGACAGGAGGGCAGTGCTGGCTGACTCTCTCCTCTCTTCTGCAGGCACTGGGCTGGTCCTTCGTGCTGCTGACCACGCTTCTGGCCTTCGTGGTGCGCTCCGTGCGGCCCTGCTTCACGCAGGCCGCCTTCCTCAAGAGCAAGTACTGGTCCCACTACATCGACATTGAGCGCAAGCTGTTCGATGAGACATGCACAGAGCATGCCAAGGCCTTCGCCAAGGTCTGCATCCAGCAGTTCTTTGAGGCCATGAACCAGGACCTGGAGCTGAGTCATGCCCAAGGGGTGCTGGCCACAGCCACTGCTTCCCCGGCTACCACCGACGGTGCCAGGGAGGAGAGGGAAAAGCTGCATGGCATCACTGATCAAGGCACCATGAACAGGCTGCTCACCACCTGGCACAAATGCAAACCACCACTGCGGCTGGGCCAGGAGGAGCCATTGGTGGGTAATGGCTGGGCCGGGGGAGGGCCCCAGCCCTCGCGCAAGGAGGTGGCCACCTACTTCAGCAAAGTGTGAGCTGTGGTCAGCTGAAGAGGCAGGAATGAGGCTCTGAACCCACAGGCTCTCAGAACCCCAAACCAGGCTGTAGGTGCTGAGCAGTAAGCCCCTAGGGCAGAGCCACATTTGGGACAGGAAATTGTATGCAGGCACTGTCACATGACCCTGGATGGCTCTGAGGCAGGAAAGCCAAGAGTGGGTTAGTCAGTAGGGCCCAGAACTGGCTTGAGGGCTAAGAGGAGAGATGGTTTCCACCTGCCTAGTACCTCGTCAGGCCACTTCTAGAGCCACTGGCCTCATCACTAGCTCACCATCTCCTCTCAGTCCTAGGACGGTTCCTGCCCCCACGTCTACTCTTGTCTGTGACTTTTTAAGAACCTGGTCTCTTGTGCTCAGGGTTCAGGGAGTAAAAGAGCTTCCAGCCCTTGCATGACATAGGAATCCTCTGATTTTAGCCCGAGTGTTCTGAGTGATGCTGAGCAGACTAGACCACAGCACACAGCCTCTCTTGGTGCGAATGTCTGGGGATGGGATAAGATGCTGCAGGCCAGGTCCACCAGGGAGAAGCCAGAGGGTGTGGTCCTCATGCAGGTGACTGTTGAGGTGGACTGCACATTTATTTAGCACCAAGCACAAAAGGCTCCCCATGTAGGGAAAGTTGGGGAGGCATCCTTGAGTACCACTCTAGTGCCTCCTCACATCCAGGTAGCTGTCACGGTGGGGAATCAGACCACTCCCAGAGCTTGAACAGCTGGAAACAGAAGCTGATGCTACCTTATTATCTCAAAGACTGCACCTCCGGGGGAGGCCGCTCTATAGGCCTCAGGGGCTCTGTCCCGAAGCAGGGGTGAGGGCGAGGTAAGGGGCCGGGAGGGCAGCTGCCTGGAGTGGAAACACCACAGACTACCGAGTGAGACAGAAATAGGCCAAATGCTGGTTCTATCTCTTACAAACCGTGTCCCTGGGCCAGGTGCTTCCTTTTCTGTGCCTCAGTTTCCTCCTCTGTGAAATGGAGATGAGGGTGTCTACCTCCTAGGGTTGTTGTGAATATTAAATGAATGAAGCATGTGAAAGCTCCTGGCATGTGGGAAGCACTGGTGAGGAGGCACCCAGTACAAGGTGGTAACGGGTTTGTTGACTTCTGAACCTCAGGGCTTCCCTCCTCCCTCGGGCAGAGGTGGCAAGCCCAGCCCTCTTTGTCTAGAAGGAAAGTAAGTGCCAGATTTTGGCCCCCTAGGATATCTTGGAAGGAAGGTTGGGCAATCCTACTTCCGTAGTGATACTGCCTCGGAAACCCAAGGAGGGGTCGCTATGAGTCGGGGCCGACTCGACGGCATATAACAACAACAACAACAACAGGATATCTTGGGGGAGCTCTGGTAGCATAGTGGCTAAGGCACTTACTTGACTGCTAACCAGAAGGCTGGCGGTTCAAACCCACCAGCCACTTCTCGGAAGGAAGATGGGGCAATCTACTTCCGTAGTGATACTGCCTCAGAAACCCAAGGATGGGTCGCTATGAGTCGGGTCCGATTCGATGGCACATAACAACAACAACAACAGGATATCTTGGAGACATAAGTCCCACCCGATCTTGGTCCCTACCACATTGTTTTAACGGTGTCTATCCTTCCTTATGCATCTTCCCTCTCTTCCCACTCTCATACCCAGTGTCCTTCCCGTTAATCATTTGGCATGGGGGAGATCCCTGCAGGCCAAGGTGGGCTGGGAGGGCTCCCTCAGGAGGTGGGACTTGATGTGGACCCTGAAGGGGAAGAATTCAATGAACTAAGGCCAGGTGTAGGGAGCTCTGGTAGCGTAGTGACTAAGGCACTTGACTGCTAACCAGAAGGCTGGCAGTTCAAAACCACCAAGCACTCCTGGAAAGGAAGGTTGGGCAATCTAATTCCATAGTGATACTGCCTTGCAGGAGCTCTGATAGCATAGTGCCTAAGGCACTTGACTGCTAACCAGAAGGCTGGCGGCTCAAACCCACCAACCACTCCTCAGAAGGAAGATGGGGCAATCTACTTTCGTAGTGATACTGCCTCGGAAACCCAAGGAAGGGTCTCTATGAATCAGGGCCAACTCAATGGCACATAACAACAACAAGGCCAGGTGTGTGCGGGTTGGGATGTTGTTGTTGTTATGTGCCCTCAAGTCGGGTTGGGATAGGGTAGGGGAAATTCCAAGTGGGAAAAGAAAACCTAGAGGAAGTGGGAGGTTCAGGTGTGAAAGAAAGAGCAAAGCTTTGGGTCAGGCTTGCCTGAGTTCAAATACCAGAGTTGCAAGTCCTAAGGCAAGTCACCTAACCCTTCTGAACCTGTTTGTCCATCTATAAAATGGATATAAAAACATCTGCTTGTCAGGATTATGGTGAGGATAAAGGGAGGTGATTTGGGGTAAAGGATCTGGAGTGGTAACAGGGGTGTGGGTAGGGGGTCAGCTGGTTCTGGGCTGTCCTTTGATAAGACACTCCTTTTCAGCATCCCAGACCCACGACTTTTCAGCCTCACTTGCACACTCCCCCAAACAGGAAGCTCATGACTACATTTTGGGACAGGCTGCTTAGTGCAGATTGTTACAAAGGGCTTCCTTTATAAACTTGAGTCCTTGTCACTTCCACCTACCATTGGGAGCTCTGCCTGTGAGACCTCTGAGACTCCTTGGTCTCCTGGGTTCACTTGCAGGGGGAGTCAGCTGAACTATGGATGGAAGAGCCCAGAAAGAGAGTTTGTCCAGGCACCGGCAGGATGGTTTTGAGTGAAAAGGCTGGGAAGGCCCCAGCCCTGCGTACCCTGCTAGGAGTCAGTTTGGAGCTGATAGCACCTCTCCCCTGACTCTACCAGGGTCTCCTTCTGGAAGCTTCTGTCTGGGAGAGGTCAGGCACGAGGGTACTCCTGAAACTGGCTCGCAGGGAAGGTCTGGCTGCCTGCCCCTGCTGAGCCCCCACCTCCGCAGCTTGTCCCACTGGAGCGGCCACGTCAGGCCTGGTCCGGGCAGGGCTGAGAGCGGAGGGTCAGCACGGCTCAGGGCGGGCGAGCAGGCCCGGCCCAGGCCCCAGGCTGCGCGGGACAGACGCAGCCGCCGCCAGCAGGCGCCTGCACACTTCCTCCCTCGCCTGCCCTGCTGCCGCCCCCTCCGCCGGGCACTCGGAGGCTGTTGCTTCACTCGCTGCCGCGCGTTCCATCCCACTGCGTCCTTCTCTCTTTCCTGGAGTAAAACTTTTCCGGAGGCGCCACCAGCTCGGAGGCCCGCTGGGCTCAGACGAGTTCCTGTGCTGGCGGGGCAAGGAGAGAGAAAAAAAGCAGGAGGAGCCGCTGCGGCGTGGGATCGGGCTGGGCTGTGGGGCCCTGCTCCACCTGGGGCGCGTCCGGGGGAACCACGCCCGGGGCTCCGAGAGGCCAGCCCTGCAGAGACCCGGGCCGCAGGTGCCCGCAGCCAGCCTCAGGTAAGGAAGGGTTCCTCCCTGGGTCGGCCAGGTACCCGGGAAGCAAGGCAGAATTGTTTCGGAGCTGCCCCGATGGATTGCCCTGGGTAGGTCGCGGGAGATCCCCAGCCCAGGACCCCCTTGGGCAGGGCCATTTCTATCCCAAAGAGGTCCCACTCAGACCTGGGTGGGGCACTGCCCTCGCCTGCGGGGCACGGACAATAGACTTACGGCGGCCTGCCCCATCCTCCACTTGCCACCCGCTCCTGTGCAGGCATCTGGCACCCACCTTTGGTGGGTTTGTGAATCCAGGGCTCCCACTGGAAGCTAATCAGGACCCTTGAAACCAAGAGAAGAGGAAGGGGAGATGGAGTTGCATTTAACTCATTGATGAATGAGCAAAACTACAAACTCTTTCCCAGGGAGTAAGACTGGACCCCTGGGCCTGTGAGTTGAGTCAAGAGTCAAACACCTCTTCCTCCTGTGACCTGTGTGGCCATGTGGCTCTCTGCCCAGGCCCATCCTGACAGCCCTGACAGAGACAGGAGGGGTTGGTGATAGAGATGAGGGCCTAGAAGGGGTTAATGGGCAGGTCTACCCCCTTTGCTTGCTGCCCTCCCTAACCTTCCTCTCTCTGGCTCCCTCTGGCCTGAGGACTTTTGTTTTCCATCCCTGGGATGGGGAGGAGGCCACACAGCCACACCCGGGGCTCTCTCTGGGCTTGTGTGGGTGGAGCCTGGAAGAGAGCTGGGCAGGACCTCTCTGGAGCCTGAGTCGGTGACCACTTGCTGGTGGGTGGCCAGCACCCTGCAGTCCTGAGTAAGGCAGAGAAGCCTTAGGGTACCCTGAGCCTCCACCTTCACCCAAGTCTGCTGAGGGGCTGCTGGAAGGCAAGAGCCACGGCTGGGGAAGGGGGGAACATGCCGTGGCTTGCCAGGCTCCCTTGGGCAGGCAAGGTCAGGAGGAGACAGAGAAAATGAAAGGTTCACTCTGTTCAGGCTCATCCTTTCCACGTCCCAAGCCTCTGCAGGTCCTGGTCAGAAGCCCTTCTCAGGCACCTGAATATTTGAATGGCCTCGAGCAAGGCACTTCCCGTTCAGGCCCTTAGTTTCCTGATCTTTGCAGGGAGACTCGCCCTCTACCCTCCACCTCACCAGTGTGACCTCCGGGAGCCACTGTGAAGATCCAACAGGTTGAGAGAGACGGAGGAGATAAGGGGTTGCACGCACAGGTCAATTATCAGGCATCATTTTTCCCTTCTGTGCTCCCTCCAGCATCCCTAAGAGGAGAGCAAGGACCAGAATGATTTACAGGCATACCTCGGGTATATTGAGGGTTCAGTTCCAGACCACCACAAGAAAGCAAATGTTGCAATAAGTCACATGAGTTTTTTGGTTTCCCAGTGCATATAAAAGTTATCTTTACACTGTACTGTAGTCTATGGCATGCAGTAGCATTATGAAAAAGTTTGAAATATTGTGAAAATTACCAAAATGTGATGCAGAGACATAAAGTGAGCACATGCTGTTGGGAAAATGGCGCCAAGAGACTTGCTTGACTCAGGATTGCCACAGACCTTCGATTTGTAAAAGATGCAGTATCTTCAAAGTGCAATAAAGTGAAGTAGAATAAAACGAGGTATGCCTGTATCCTCTTTTCACAGATGAGGAAACTGAGGCCCAGATAAGTCACGAAGTATGTTGAAAACCAGAATCTTCTAAACCAGTTCAGAGCCTGAGGTTTCCAAAATGAAGCAACAGGTTCCTATGAAATCCAGGGATGCTGGAGTCTTGCTGTGTCAGGCTCACCGTTGACTGGAGGCCCCTGTCTCCACGCTACCCCACACCACAGGATTAAGTCCAAGTTCTTTATCCACCAGGACACCCACTCCAGCTCTAATTGTACCCACGGGGTTAGAGTGTCCCAGCACATTAGCACTACCTGGAATCCCAGAGGGAAAAGTTGTCAATACCCCACAATCCCCAACACCAAAGGGCCATTCCCAGCCCCTGCCCCCAGAGAAAGTTGTGGTAGCAGGAAGAACGTAAGTGTTCAAGGCAGGCTTGGGGCTTGAGACCTGGGCTTCAGTCCCAGCTCTGACACTTCTGTGTGACCCTGGTAAGTCCCTCACCCCCAGTGAGCCTTGTGTACAATAAGGACAGTAATCCAGTCGTCTCATAGGGGCTTGTGAGGACGAGCAATAAGGGGGGTAAGTTAATGAGCAGTAGCGTTGCTGTTAGCTGACATCAGGTCAGCTCTGACTCATGGCAAACACATGAACAACAGAATGAAATGTTGTCTGGACCTATGCCATCTTCACTGTCTATTCTGGTTCCCTAGTGCTGCTCTGGCAGGAATATACCACAAATGGGATGGCCTTAACAAACAGGAGTTTATTCCCTTACAATTTGAGGCTTTAAATCCAAGTTCAAAGTGCCAGGCTCTAGGGGCTGTGAGAAAGCCCATCGACCTTGGGCTTCAGCTCTGCCTCTTGCTCCCGGCCTACTGAAGCTAGAGGCATCTCTTCACTCAGGCAGCTAGTGGCTGCTGAGGCTAACAAGCCCAAGGTTGACAAATAAAATGGCACAGTCCCAATGTTACCAAACCACATGGCAGGGCATTAATTCAAACCCACTTTAAGTCCCAAGGTTGGCAAAGCATGGCAGGCTGCTGAACAACAACACAGCTACATGCAGGGTCCAAGCGTGCCATAAGCTAGAGACTATCATCCCCAAGGCTTCTCCTTATATACAGCAAGCAGACCACATCCCAAAGGCAGCTACTCAGCTGCCTGTGGTAGATCCCATCATGGAGTTGATTGCCAGTCTCATCAGGGGAATAGCTACCACCAGCTGTCCAGACATTCAACCAAGCCCAGCCAAGTTGACATACGAATTTAACTCCCACACTATCACATGCTCAAGTCCATTGTTACAACCACTGTGAATTCTGAGTGCCTTCCAACCTTGGGGGCTCATCTTCCAGCACCGTTATCAGATCATACTCTCTTGTGCTCCATAGGGTTTTCATTGGTAATTTTCTAAGTGGATCACCAGGCCTTTCCTCCTAGTCTGTCTTAGTCTGGAAGCTCTGCTGAAACCTGTCCACCATGGGTGACCCCGCTGGGATTTGAAATACCAGTAGCTTCCAGCATCACAGCAACATGCAAGACAGCACAGTTGACAAACTGACAGGTGGGTGGTGGCGATGAACAGTAAACCAATACCAAACCTACTGCCGTCGAGTTGGTTCATAGTGACTGTATAAAGACAGCGTAGACCTGCCTCATAGAGTTTCCAAGGTTGTAGCTCTTTACGGAACCAAATTGCCATTTCTTTCTGGTAGGTTCAAACAGCTGGTCTTTTGCTTAGCACCCAAATGCTTAAACCACTGCATCACCAGGGCTCCAACAATTGTCGTTAGGTGCTGTTGAGTTGGTTTTCACTCATAGCAACAAAACACTGCCTCGTCCTGCACCATCCTCGTAATTGTTGCCGTTTGAGCTCATTGTTGCAGCCACGGTGATGGTCCACCTCATTGAGGGTCTTCCTCTTTCTTTGCTGGCCCTCTACTTTACCAAGCATGTCTTTCTCAAGGAACAGTAATGACCACTATTTCTCCCAAGTGTGTGCTCCCCCATCACCCCAAAACTCTTTCTCACAAAGAACTGGCCATACGAGCAGCCTCTTCAATCTCCATTTCCAAAGGCAAACATTTATCAGGTATCTGCTATTCCACAGGAAGTACCAGGCCGTGGCTGTAGGGGATAAGATGGCCAGACTGTGCCCTGCCTTCAGGTGCCCAACAGCCTGCGCCCTTGCCTAGCCCACCAGGAACCATCATTCCCCATCTGCCTCCATCCTGCAGCCGTCACCATGGCAGCTCTGATTGCAGAGAACTTCCGCTTCCTGTCACTGTTCTTCAAGAGCAAGGATGTGATGATTTTTAATGGGCTGGTAGCACTGGGGACAGTGGGCAGCCAGGAGCTATTCAGCGTGGTGGCCTTCCATTGCCCCTGCTCACCAGCCCGCAACTACTTGTATGGGCTGGCAGCCATCGGTGTGCCCGCCCTGGCTCTGTTCCTCGTCGGCGTCATCCTCAACAACCACACTTGGAACCTAGTTGCTGAGTGCCAGCACCGGAGGGCCAAGAACTGCTCAGCTGCCCCCATCTTCTTGCTCCTGAGCTCCATCCTAGGCCGCGCTGCCGTGGCCCCCGTTACTTGGTCTGTCATCTCCCTGCTGCGTGGGGAGGCTTACGTCTGTGCCCTCAGCGAGTTTGTGGACCCCTCCTCACTCACAGCCGAGGAAGAGGGCTTTCCACCAGCCCATGCTACAGAAATCCTGGCCAGATTCCCTTGCGGGGAGAGCCCTGCCAACCTGTCACGTTTCCGAGAAGAGGTCAGCCGCAGGCTCAGGTATGAGTCCCAGGTAAGGAGCTGTGCGGAGGGAAACCCCTTTCCTTTCTCTAAGTCGTGGTTGGTGGGGAGGTGCTGGGTGGCCCAGTGTTAAAAGTGGAGTTGGATCCTCAGGGGCTGAAGTCTCTAGGAAAGCACTAGATCATTAGTGTCAGGTTATCAGAGCTGTTTCATCCATGGGTTAATGCTTAGTGGTTAATGCCAGTCCCAAATAAGCCAGATAGTTTTAAACATTAAAGGAACATTCTCTGGCTAAGACTGAGCCATGATCCCAGTCACAGGTAAGTCTTTTACCCCAGCCTGGACCCCTGCAAGCCACTAAGAAATACTTGGTGTCGCCCATGAGTTGGCAGCAGAGTGTGGCAGGCTCCAGAGACCAGCATGTTACTAGTCCAGGAAGGAACTAGCCCCGCCTCAAGAGTTGCTGACATTAAGAAGTCCCTTGGGCCAGGAGGAGAGGGTGTCAGGAAATAGCAGCTGCTGCCCTGATGTTAGTTCTGAAGGTGCTGCTGATTCCAGGAGTGGAGAGAGCACAGAAGAGAGCTGGGCAGCAGAACTGAGCTGAAGTGTTAACAGTGAAGCAGTGGGTGTGGGAGTGAAGCAAAGAGCCAAGATTTTCTAAAAGGTCTCTTCTCCTGGGTGTATAAGGTACCCAAGAAGACAAGAAATAGGGCTGGAGCCAGCACCAAAGGAGATGGAAGATGGTAGTCAGAGAAAAGAGCAAAATTCATTTGATGCCAGTCAAATGCCCACAGATCTCTACACGTTCAGATGGGGAAACAGATGAACTTGACTCTTAATAGGCTCACACCCAGGCAAGCTTTTTGAGACAAGCATATGGGTGCCTCAAAACAAGGCAGCTGATGATGATGAGAGGAGTCAGGCCATGGGGGCCGCAGGGAAGGCAAGATCCCATCCAGGGGGGCTTTGGAAGGCTTTCTGGAGGCGTTATCTGGGCTGGGTTTGGTGGTTTGCTTGGATTTTGAAGGGCTAAAATGATGGGAGGGGCTGGGCCCTTGGGGCTGAAGGAATGGCAGTAGAAAATGCCGGAGGCAATCTAAGAACACACTCTGAAAGACAGCAGAGAAAGTGTTAAAGGGGGTAAGGGGAAAGAGGTGAAAGGAATCCCAGCCGAAGGGCTTCTTCTTACAGAAGTGGAACCTGAGGCTGGCAAGTTACAGAGCCAGGACCCTCAGGCCTAGATTCAGTCCACCTCTTTCTTCCACTTGTATCTGGGGTGGTAGGGGCCCAGGCAGCTCCTGGCCCCGCACTGAGTCCCGTCTCCTCTCTGGCCAGCTCTTTGGGTGGCTGCTCATCGGCCTGGTGGCCATCCTGGTGTTCCTGACCAAGTGCTTCAAGCAGTACTGCTCACCACTCAGCTACCGCCAGGAAGCCTACTGGGCGCGATACCGCGCCAACGAGGACCAGCTGTTCCAGCGCACAGCTGAGATGCACTCGCGAGTGCTTGCTGCCAACAACGTGCGCCGTTTCTTCGGTTTTGTGGCACTCAACAAGGATGATGAGGAGCTGGTTGCTAAGTTCCCAGTGGAAGGCACACAGCCGCGGCCACAGTGGAACGCCATCACAGGCATCTACTTATACCGGGAGAACCAGGGGCTCCCACTCTATAGCCGCCTGCACAAGTGGGCCCAGGGCCTGGCAGGCAATGGCACAGCCCCTGACAACATTGAGATGGGCCTGCTCACCTCCTAAGTGTCCTGTCCCCATGCTCTCTGCAAAGGACACACACTCATTGTCACTGAGTCAGACCTGACTCATAGCTACCCCTCCTTGGGTTTCTGAGGCATTATCACTATGGAAGTAGATTGCCCAACCTTCCTTCCAAGGAGTGGCTGGTGAGTTTGAACCACCAACCTTCTGGTTAGCAGTCATGTGCTTTAGGCACTACACCATCAGAACTCCTCCCTATGCTACCAGAGCTACTGGGTACCAAACTGAACCCCACTGCCTACTAACATCAGAATGGGATTTTTTTAAAAACCATAACTTCTTGGGAAAACAGGCCAGGAGGAAGGTGACCTGGGGTGGGGAGAAAAAATTGAGTGGACAATGTAGTCAGCTAATGGAAGGCTCTCAGACTTGAAGAAATGCCCTATCCTGTTGCCACTGGCCCACATGGTCAGCAGCTTTGGGGGAAAGACTCCTTCTCAGAACTGGTCCTTAATGGACAATGAGGAGGATATCTTCTTTTACTGGTGGGACTCCAAGGTTGGGAGGCCCCAGCCAGCAGAGCTAGGTGACAATGATAGTCACCAATAGGCTCCTCGTGCAGTTAATTTGTGTCTTAATTGCATATGGAAATGACTTGGGGGACCTGCCCTCAACAATGTATACTGCTAGCCTTATCTTATGTATTTAAATTTTTGATAAAGCTTTTTCTTGGTATAAAGGAATAGCCTGGTGTCAGCATGTCCAATGGCTGTGGGAGGAAGGGGCACAGGGAAACTCTGGACAGGACTGCAATGGGCTGGAGGGGCAGGAGGGGTGCAGGGAGCACAAGGTGCCTCCATACATGCAACAGGACTCCGTTATCTGATTCGATCTGAGGAACAAATGAGCCTGGCTTTTCTCAGGGAAGTTCAACTTGAAACATCAGGTCTCTAGAAGATGCTGCACTCACTAAGACAGAACTCCCTCTTGTATATTTAGGGCTGATGGCCAAGAACCAAGCCAGCAGCATCTCCTTCCCGTCCCAGCCCTTGGCTATTACCTCCACCACTCGCTTCCTCAAATCTTTGATACTCTCACTGGCCCTGTCCTGCTTCCTGGCATGGTCAGTTGCTTCCCATGGAAAATGTCTCAGGAGATTTCAGATGCCAACAGAGAAAACTTGTGGTTCCCTTGAGACACAGCCAAAAAGACAACCTGCTCCCCCAACTAGCCGGGACTGTTAGAACTGTGGGGTAGAGAGCAGTATTACATTATCGAAGGGGGTGGAAAGCTGTCTTTCTGGGGATTTTTACAGAACTGGAGAGAGGTCTGGTGCTAGTGGACCCCGCCATGTTTCCTTGCACTCAGGGACTTGAGGAACAATCCTGAAGTCAGTGGATTCTCTCTGCCCAGAAACCTCTCCCCACAGCTGAAAGGGGGCACAAAGAAATTTTGTGATCTTCCCCAAAGTCAAGCGAGTCGACCCTGGCCGAGCAAAGGGAGTAATGATGTGTAGCAACTTCCCACCTGCCATGTTTGGTGGTGGCACGTAAAATACATGTTCTCATTTAATCCACACAATAAAGCTTAAGGGAGGAATTTCTGACGCCATTTTACAAATGAAGGGAGGGACAGCCTTGGAGAAGGTGGGTGAGGGATGAGTCGTCAGGTGGGCTGAGCCAATAGCTGTGGCTTACCTCTCAGCCCTCCAGGTTTCACCAATTCCCTATGAGGGGCTGCCTCCATCCTCCTGTCCCACCTCGACAGCATCCATAAAAAGGGCTCAAGGTACTAGCTGAGCTGAGGTCAAGGGAGCACCCAGACTCCAAAATCAGACATGGAAATGCGTACAAAGAGCAGGGTAGAGGGCCTGCTCCATGGACCCAGTGACTCTCTCCAACTGGACCAAGAGGCTGGCCCAGGATCCCGGCCACAGGAGCCTCAGGAGTAAGCCCCTCCACTCTTACACGTCAGGGAACTCCCAGAGGAAAGACAAAGCTCTTCTGGAGCCTAAGAGTCTATCTACTGGCATCCGCTGAGCAGCCTCAGAGAAGGGAAAAGATTAAATTAATTGGTACTTAAAACCAAAAGGAAGTAAAAGAAATTTCAAACTCTTTTTCATCCTGACAGGATTGCTCAAAGGGTGCTGCAAAAAAGCAGCACTTAAATACAGTCCTCAGTCAATACTGTTCCAGGCTCCTGAGGGTGGACGCAGGGCTGCGTGCTCTGACAGTGCCCTTGAGGGCTGGCTGGCCACTAGTCCTCCAACACTGAGCTCTTAGCCTCCACGTATTCCAGGGCCTTCGCCTTCACTGCCTGCACGTCCTTCTCTGTGCCGTGCTGCTTCTCGTAGTCCAGGTAGCGCTTGAAGAAGAATTTCATTTTCTTAGGGGCCAGGCTCAGGTGAATGACTCGCTCAAAAATGTCCCTGTGAAAAGGAGCAGGGCAGCGTGAGCCTCACGGTCCCAGGCCACACGATTCTGGCTAGCACCCACATGTGGACTCTGCTCTAAGCCCAGGGTCCTCTCTCACCCAGCACTCCTACTACTTTTCATTACCACCACTGATTTCCACAATGCCCCTGGAGGAAAAGGTCCCACCACCCTCATCTTCTGGGTGAGCAGCAGACACAAAGATGTCCAGGGACTGACTTCCTGAAGTCACACAGTGAATTAGGACAAAACTACTGGGTTGGGGGCCATAGTGAAATGTGGCTCTGGAAGAAAGTGCTGCTTTAAACCCACTGAAGCACTCTGGGTCCTCCAAGGCACCTATTCTTTCTGGACCTCAGTCTACCCATTGCTAGCCCTCCCTGCCTGTGAGAACACAGGAGGCAAAAGTGACATGGTAACTGTGAGTGTTCCCTAGAACAAGGGACATGATGCTAATTATGAGGAAACCCAAGTCTTCTGGCTGGCAGGCCAGGGACCGGGCTACTTCCTACCCATGGTTCCAGATACAGACCAGCTACTGGGGCAGAAAAAGAAGCTGGAAAAACGATCACCCCAGGACCTAATGCATCATGTCAAAGCTGTTTTGCTAGGTGAGCTTCTCTAGGGTAAGAAATCAGCTCGCCAGTACCCTCCTCCCCCACAGGGAAGTCAGCCTGCCATCTCCCCTCTCACCGGACTTCCTTCTGGCTGCCATGCTTGATGGTCATGTCAATGTACACCGACCACACATCCGTGCGCTTTGGGTAGGTACTCAGTGTGTTCTCGAAGATGGCTCTGGCCCGCTCCGCATCTCCCAGCTGGAACTCGAGCTGGGCAAACTTGGCAATCACATCCACGTCTGCAGGGAGAGGGGAGCTGAGAAGCCCAGTAAGCAGACAGACCCCTCCTGTAACACAATGGGCTACAGGGACCAGAGAGAGTCAGACTCCCTGCTCCTGGGTACCCCAGGTATGGCAAGCAGAACAGAGCCTGAACAGAACAGTGGAGTGTGTTTAGGGCCAAAGGACAGTACACAGATAGGTACTGACCTAGACTCCAACTGCAGATACCCTACCTACCCTGCAGGCCTAGAAATGGTTTATGGGGAAGGGGGGCCAACCGAATTAGTGCTACTTGGTGTTTATTCCTCCAAGTGTTGTAGTTCTGGTATTTGAAATGCAACATGTATTCTTATGCTCATGAGCATGCAATGAACAGAGGTAATGACACACCCCCACAAGGCTGTCCTAAGGCAACACCTTCCATGGGTAAGAAGACCCCCAATCCTCATTCCTGGATCCAAGAGAGCTGTTCAGGAACTGGGCTGGCTAGTAGGAACTAGCACTTACGCTCCTTCTTAGGCAGGCACTCAAGGGCTCGCTGCAGCGCACGGTGACTGGCACCAGCCTGGCCCCTCCGCAGAAGGAAAGAGCCGTATTTGATCCAGACAGCTTTCTCCAAGCGGAAACGCTTCAGCATTCGGTTGTAGAGCTCTCCTGCTTCCTGTGGGAAAAGACGATTTGTAAGCCAAGGAGAGAACTACAACAGGGGCAGCAACAAGGACCAGCAGTGAAGCTCGTGAGATCAGCACACACCCAGGCCTAATCTAGACACCCAAGGGAGGCTCGATGACACAAGGGCACAACGAGAGCCACAAAATTACATGGGGTCAGTCTGCTAACCTTGTGCCAGTAAAGGGATCTGAAGGCTAGAAGGAGGGACAATGGCAAGGGGGAATGAGAGATGGAAAAGGGGGTAGTGGGCCAAAATGTCACCTTCTGTCCACAATCCTCCAGTCAAGAGCTATACCCAGGGGTCCACTGGCCTTTCATTTCCAAAGCTACCACATCCTTTGCCTTCAGCCCACCTTCCTGAAGTGAAGGTGAGGAAAATTACTTCCTTCACAGATGATGAGGAAGCTAGGCCCAGACACCCCTCAGCAATCCTAAGACAGGACGATCCTAAGCCCTAAGATGCTGCCTCAGGGACTGCCAGGAGGTAGGCTCTGGGAGGCCAGGGACCCTCTGCCCACCTGGCTTAGAGCCTCACCTGGAATTTCTCTGACTTGGTGTAGATGTCAGCCAGGTGCAGAAAGACCTTCAGAGGCTCATTGTACTGCACTGCTCGCTCGAAGACCTTGGTCAGTGACTCCTGAGAGCCGTACATGTTCTCTAGGTTCAGCAGTGCCACCCACACGTTCAGCTTCTCCTGCTCCTCTCTGCAGGAAAAGCAGTCAGCGCCTGAACTCCAGTGACCCAGCCCCACAAGGCCCCCACTCCCGTCCAGGGGTGTCAACGACAATCACTCCTTCTCCTAGGCTCCTTCTGGGTGTCCAGCCTCGAGTGCAGGCACTGAGAGACCCTATCCCCACTGCAGCTCATGCAGAAGCAGGGACCCCTCTGACCCTTGACTCCTGGGCCAGAGACTCTCTGCCTCCTGCCTCCACTGGGAAGGAAGCCTACAAAATCTTAAAATTAGCCTGGGGTTCAAGCTGAAGGAACAGGATCTTAGGTCTGATTATCTTCCTAAACAGGAGAATGAGGCAAAAGATCTGCCACCTCTCTTCTGCAAACTAACTGGACTTTCTGACTGAAAAATTTAGGGTTTTCACAGAGGTGGAGAGTTCTTTTTCCTATTCTGCTTCTGCTCCAAACTAGGTCCCTTATTTAAGTGTAGGGACTCTTGCAAATGTTACCTTTAGCTATTTTAGTAAAGACGACTATAAAATATGAATGAGCAGACGATCTGTTTCACAGATGGTCACACCTGTGAGAGAAAGCCTGGCAACGCATGGGCCCCTGGTGGCAGCCACACACACTGCTGTCAGCCTGCCTGGGAGGAAATGACCCTCAGCAGCAGACTCTGCAAGCCCAGAACCTGGGGAGACAGGCCCTTCCTGTCAAAAGGCCCCTCCCTAGAGCAGAGGGGAGGCAAAATCGAGACCTGAAGGAAATGGTCTTGAGAGCCCGCTCAGCCACGGCACGGGCCTTCTCGATCTCTGTGGCCTGTAGGTGGAAGGCCATGTACTGCAGCCACAGGATGGAGCTGCTGGGGGAGCTGAGCACCAGTCGGTCAAAATCATCCGCTGACTCTGGCTGCCGCCCAGGGTCCCTCAGGGCCTCCTCAATGCAGGACAGCTGTTTCTCTGCCTTCTGCTTCTCCAACGCCCTTTCCTTCTTGCTTTTCTTCTTCTGGTAGGGAAGGCAGAAAACTAGGTGAGTAGCGTGCTCCTCAGACCCTGGGGGAGTCTAGTGGAAGCCGAGGGTGGGCGGGCAGTCCCTGGGCTCTGGAAGTCCTCCCTGGAGGGAACACTGAGGCTAGAACAGAGCACATGAGACTGGCACAAAAGGCTCCCCGAAGAAAGACAAAGCCCTGGGAAATACGGCACCGTGGCTTCATGTGGCGTGTCGTCCTCCTCGCTGTCTGAGCTCTCTCCTCGAGGTGGCAGGGCTGGGGTGAGGGAGTCTAGCCCCACGTCCCACATGAAGCCTGAAGACAGCTGCAGCCGGGGCGCATCTGCTGGCTTGGTCAGCTTCTTCTGGAGAATCAGAGGTGTGTGAGGAAAGCACTTGGCTCCGGCAGCCACTGCTCCCCAGCCCTGCCCCACCAGAAGGAGCAAGGACTCCCACCTTGCCCAAGACCCTTCCTCTCCTACCTCCAGGTTAGGGTAAACACCAGAAAAACCAAACCCACTGCCATCGAGCTGATTCTAACTCATAGCGACCACCATTGAGTTTCCAAGCCTATATATCTTTACAGAAGCAGCTTCCTCATCCTCTTCCCGTAAAGAAGTGGTGGGTTTGAACTGTTGACCTTCTGGTTAACAGCCAAATGTCTTGCACACTACACCGCCAGAGTTCCTTAAACTTTATAGTTGTTGTTGTTATGTGCCGTCGAGTCGGATCTGACTCATAGTGACCCCTCCTTGGGTTTCCAAGGCAGTATACTACGGAGGAAGATTGCCCAACCTTCTTTCCAAGGAGTGGCTGGTGGGTTTGAACTGCCAGCCTTCTGGGTAGCAGTCAAGTGCCTTAGGCACCACGCTACCAGAGCTCCTAAACTTTAGAGTAGTGACTTAAAAGTTTTCTTCATAAATAAATTTACTTAGTAACAAATTTTAAACATTATATATATATTATATACACACACATATATATAAGGTGGGTAGAGATATGACAAAAAATCTGAGGACTATCAGGCTGCAAGTGCCTAAAGTGTGGGAGCTCTGCCCAGGTGTAAGCCCTTCTAATTCAGTCCTCTCAGCTCAAGTATTCCCAATGTCACTGAGTCGATTCCAACTCACAGCAACCCTACAGGGCAGAGCAGAAATGCCCCCTGGGGCTTCCAAGGCTGTAATCTTTATGGAAGCAGACTATCACATTTCTCCCTTAGGGCAGCTGGTAGACTTGAACCACTGAACTCTCAGTCAGCAGCTGACTGCTTAACCATGGGACCACCAGCGCTCCTTTGCTCAAGTATTCCTGTCCCTTTTTCAGAGCAGAATGAAGGCTAAGCCTCCTCTGTAACAGCCTCACCCCACTGATTTAATTCCATTCCAGTCAATAAACATTTACCAGAATTTATTTAATGCAGCCCACTCTATGGGTGAAACAAGGTCCCAGTCCTCAAGGAGCTTATGGTCAACTGAGGAAACTAAAAGTCCCACTGTCTCCTATTTTACAGGAAACGAAGTAAAAGAGGACAGTGCTTACACAGCCAAGCTCTTAGGTAGGACACCAGGGACTTCCTTCACCCAGAGCAACCTTTTCTTTTCCACTCAATGTTGTCCCTTACCTTGGCCAGCGCAGTCATCTCTTCTATCTCCTCCTCTCCTTCCCGGTAATACACTTCAACACCACTGTCGTCCTCCTCGGATGGACCAGCTTTCTTCTGCTTCTTGTTCACTCTCTCCTGAGATGGCAAGCAGGAAAGCTGCTGAGCCACCCTTCTTGCCCAGAAGCACCTCTGGCCTGAAGCCAACGTCCTCCCTCTGCTCCTCCTGGCCCCAGCCAAGACGCAGCCCCATACTCATGCTGCTCCCATTCCGAGAGCAGGCTAGGCAGCAGCCTGGCTAGCTTTCATGCTTTCCCTTTTCCGGCGCAGAGAGACTGGCCTCCGAGGGCTTACCTGCTCGCTTCCAGACTCACGGCGGCCCCGCTTGCCCTGCTTCTTCACTTGCGGCTGCCGGGGCTCACGCTTCTCCTTGCTGGGCCGCTTCGCGTCCTCTGGCCCTTTCTGGTTCTTCTTCTCTTTCCTTTTCTGGTTCTTCTTCTCCTCATTCCTTCTTTGGTCCACCCTCTCTGCCTCTGTTTCCCTCTCCTCCTGCTCTAGATGTGGCCGTCCTATGGAGGCAGGAAGCACGTCTGGCTTCCCAGTGTCGCTGGAGAGGAACGACAGTGCCACGAGTTTCCTCTTGTAGTTCAGGCTATGACAGAGGGCAGGGAGGGTGGAGAGTGAGACAACATACAAAGTACAAAGTGGGGGAAGGGGAAGGGGTGAGTGCTTACTGTGACAGGGTCTCCTTTTAGAGAGCTAGACAGCAGTGACAGTTGCACAGCACTGCGAAAGCACTAAAGGGAACTGACTTCTTCATTTCAAAACAGCTAATTTTATGTCAATTTCACCTGAATTTTTTTAAGATGTTTAAAGGCCACACCAAGCAACCCAGTCCTACCTTCTCCTCAGCCCACAATGCTGGACCCTGGCCCTCCTGCCTTGGAAATCCACTTACTTAGGAACCATGTGCACATTTTACCATGCTTCACAGAAAAACACAAGGGCAACTGTGATACCCCCCACCCTCCCACCCCAACAATAGGAACCTCTCTGTACCTGCTTTTAGGAGAGGTAGAAGGGCCCAAACAAGGGGTTTTCGTTCATCTGAACACAACAGTCACCACTACCAAGCCATTATATTCAAAGTTTATCTCCAAAACCGCTTCTGAGGGCTCCCGGAGGAGGTTTGATTCACATCATAGAGAGAGAGAAGGCACTGACCTGAGGATCTTGGCTGTGAGCAGCTTCCCTTCAGGGAGATACGTGCTGTAAAGGGCTCTCTCAGATGGGCTGTGCCGGGAGACATAGGAGTACTGGGCCACACCCACCACTGAGGGGCCAAGACTGAAAGGAGAGACAAGGGTCCTGTGATCAAAAACACGACAGCAGAACCCATCCGGCCCAGAGACCCCACTTTCACAAGGATCCAGGTTGTAACAAGGATTTACGTCAGGATAAAGAGGGCATTTCAAACTGGAAAAAATGATGATGATGGTAAGGATACAACTGAAGGAGATTTCTTTTTGCTCTACATCATAGCACAATAACATATCAATCGTAAACTGTCAGAGCATAAAGAGAAAGCGAGGAAATGTAACAGCAGGGAAGGCCGGGGAGGCTGTCACATCTAGTGGCTGTGAGCTCTGTGATCTCCCACAGCAGCTACAAATCACAGGCATACAATGAATCAAAGAAAACCCAGTTCACTGAAAACTGAAATCTGGTAGGCTGTGGTGTTTGTTCAAAAGGATAAACAAGAACTTTAAAACACTTCTAAGTTAGTGGAAACTTGTAGACTCCCCTTCTTTCATATTCTCGTCCAAAGAAGTCCAGCACAGATCTGGGGAAGGCCCTCTCAGCCCTTGCCCTGCTCACCTGAGGAGCACACCACGCGGCTCGACGGCCTTCACGTAGCCCCGCAGGAGCTGCCCCTCCTTAATGTCCTGCATGGAGTTAATCTCAGGATCTTCTATTTTGCTTTTCGTCTCTGGGTTGGTTCTAAAGGAATAAAAAAGCCTTACTTCCATATTCCTAATCCCCTTTTTCCCACTCCCCTCCCAATACAACTGCAATAATTATACTTAGTATGCAAGACCCTGAACCTGCCAGTGGGATGTAACCTTCAGAGCCCAAGCCTACTCTCCCTGAAGTCCTGCCAGCCAGGAGCACGCATGTGCAAGTCGTCTCTACATACACAGGCAGAGGCTGACCAAGCGAGAGAGGGGTCAAACCCAAAACCTTGGCCTTAGAAACATCCATTCCTAACCATGGAGCAAACTGACCACACGCCTAAGCACTCCATGTCATATTCGCCCACACCACGGCAGCATAGTGCCTAGGCACCTGACTGCTCACCAGGAGGCTGGCGGTTCAAACCCACCAGCCACTCCTCCGAAGGAAGGTTAGGCAATCTATTTCTGTAGTGATACTACCTCGGAAACCCAAGGAGGTCGCTATGAGTCGGGTCCAACTCAACAGCACTTAACAACAAGAACAACAACAATGGAACCTTGGGCTAAATCATCTCCCCTCACCAAGGCCACCACCTTGCAAACTTGAACACCTGCTTTTGACTGTTTAAACCTCTTCCTGGGGAAATAACAGCCTGAGCAAATGGAGCTCTTCTAGGAATCTGAGTATCTCCAGGTTTTCTGGATAAAAGAGGGGCAGGGTGTGGAGTGGCTGAGCAGAGAATAAAGGTTGGGAACCCCAAGTTCTGTGTCAGACACATGCAGCCTTCCTTTAGTCCTCTGGGTGGTCCTCTTCCCTTCCTGTCCCCAGCAACATAGATACCCACCTGGACGATCGCAGAGACAAAGTCAACATGTGGTCTGCAGTGGACAGGACACAGCACCTGAAATGAGAATAAAAGAGAATTAAATGCTCAATTCTGAGCTACTCTGGAGACAACAAAAGGCCTGAGCATCCTTTCCACCAGGCTGACCAACAAGCAAGAGCTAGGTTCTGGTCATGAAACTTGGGTTCTGATTCTTTACTCTGTTGACAGCCTGTTGAGGGACTCTGGACAAGTTGCTTCATCTCTCTGGGCTTCAGTTTACTAGTTTGTCAAGTAAAAATAACACTACCTACTTTTCGTACCCAACAAAGGTGTTGGGAGAAGGACTAAAGAGGAGACATGAAAGCCTTCTGAAGGTTTAGGACCATGTAGTGACCATTTAAGAGATGAGACCAGACCCATGTTAGGTCCTGATCTCAGTGGAGAAAAACTAACCCTGAGGAAACCATCACCAAGGATGATCCAGGTACTACATGCAGGAGTAAAGAGGCCAGAGATCAGTGAAGCCTGAGCACAAGGCGGCTTCCAGGAGGGACAGCAGAGCTGGGTTGGATTTCCAGACTTACATCATCTGAAATGGTAATGTGTAAACCAAAGCAGCTATTTAAATGGAGAAAAGACTGCAGTCGTCAGGGAATCCATTTGACTTGGATCCACAATCAACACCCATGGAATTAGCAGTCAAGAACTCAGACATCATACTGCACTGGGCAAATGTGCTACAAGACCTTTTTAAAGTGTTAAGAAGCTGGAGAGAACAATGATGGGAGAAAGAAGGGCTATTTATGCACAGCGAGACAACAGCTCAGGGGGCAGGGGTGCACGGAGGGATGGACACAGGGAAGAGGTAACTATCGGGAGGAAGTGGGAGGGGAGCTGTTGCATTGTGCTAAATTGTAGTCAATGTCATGAGACAAAGTATGTGAAATGCTGTATGGAAAGTGAATTTGCTCTGTAAATTTTCACCCAAATCACTAAGAAAAAAAGTGTTAAGAAGCAAAGATGTCAATTTGAAGACTAAGGTGCACCTAACCCAAACCATAGTATTTCCAATTGCCTCATATGCATGTGAAAGCTAGACAATGAATAAGGAAGACCTAAGAGTTGTTGCCTTTGAATTGTGGTGCTGGCAAAGAATATTGAAAATGATATGGACTGCTAGAAGAACTAACAAATCTGTCCTGGGAGAAGTGCAGCTGAAATACTCCTCTGAAGTGTGAATGGCCATTTTCTCACCTACTTTGGTCATGTTGTCAGAAGGGACCATTTCCTGGAGAACGGTATCATGTTTGGTAAAGTGGAGGGCCAGTGAAAAAGGGGAAAACCTTCAACAAGATAGAGTGACACACTGGCTTCAATGATGACTGAGGCATAGCAAGGACTGTGAGAATGGCACAGGACTGGGCAGTCTTTCACTCTGTTTGCAGAAGGCTGCTGTGAGTTGAATGACTCAACAGCACCTAACGACAATAATCTTAGAAAGAATCTCAGCAACTATACAGCCCAAATTTTCCCACCAATGTCAGCCTTTTAAAACATGACAGTGCAGACCTTCGAGCTAGAAAGAGCCTTGGGGGATCTTACCTTTAGGCAAGTAATTTATTCTTTATACTCAACAGAAGAGGGAACTGTGATTTAATGATACTCACAGATTTGGTCATAACAAAATGTATTTAAAGTAAGTAATTTTGCTGAAAAGCAAAACCTCATCTTCTAAGCCTCAAGGGATAAAACAGAGGTGGATCTTGAATTTTTATAGAGCTCATTTCTTTTTCTTCTCCTATTGTTGTTATGTGCCGTGGAGTCGGCCCTGACTCACATCGACCCCTTCTTGGGTTTCTGAGGCAGTATCACTACAGAAGTAAATTGCCCAACCTTCCTTTCAAGGAGTGGCTGGTGGGTTTGAACTGCCATCCTTCTGGTTAGCAGTCACGTGCCTTAGGCACTATGCAGAGCTCCTTTTCTTCTCCTAGGTCCTGGAAATTTATGTCTTTAATTCTGATAAGTATTTGATAATTTAAGCAGGTGTTTGGGTGTCTGGGACATTTGAGACAGGAAGGCACAATTTCTCTGCTTCCTAAAAGCATCCATCCCATCATTAACAGTGATTCTTAGAAACATCTTTATTATATCAAGTTGACGTCTGCCTCTTTGATGCTAGTTTATCCAGGCTTTAACATGGTTTTAAAACTTTCACTGAGGTGGGTTCATTTGTGTGCATCTGAAATAGTTCATAAATAAAGCCCTGTAGCTGGCAAAAGTCACTGTCTTTTTTTATAAAGAACACCTACAGATGACTAAAACTATGTTAAAAGATGACTACTTCAATATAAAAATGAGCAAAGCGACTCAGACCAGCAAAGCACAGAACAAATGTAAACAGCTAAGAAACATGAAAAATGACCAATAAGAGAAATGCAAATTACAACGATACATCCATTTCTGTCTACCCAAGAGCTAAGACGGAAAATTAATATCGAGTGTCAGGAGAGGGGTGAGAAATGGACAGACATATTCACTGTTAACGGGAATATAAATTAGCAGAGTTGTTTTGGAAGGCAATTTTACAAAAACAATCAAAAACTTAAATGTATACATCATTTCATCCATAAATTTCACTTCTAAGAATTTATTTCATACATGTCATGTGCTAGCATGGAAAACCATGTACAAAGATGTTCACGTCAACAATATCCATCAACAGGACTTGTTAACGAAATCATGATAAAACACACATAAGGAGGTACCATACAACTAAAATTAAGGGGTTTTTTTTGTTTGTTTATTTGTTTTAAGAAAGAAAAAGAACAAAGCAGATTTAAATATACTAGCACAGGAAAAGAAAAAGTCTATGAAAAACTGCTAAGAGAAAAAGTAAGTTGCAAAACATATAAAATGATATTTTATTATTAGATGAAAAAAAATTATGCCTATATGTTAAAGTTATAGAAAAATAAAGACCAAAGTATGTGTGTGTGTATATATATAAACCAGAAAACCAAAACCAAACTGCTGTCAAGTCAATTCCGACTCATAGAGACCCCTCCTTGGGTTTCCGAGGCGGTATGTCTATGGAAGTAGATTACCCAGTCTTCGTTCTGAGGAGTGGCTGATGGGTTTGAACAACCAGTGTTCTGGTTAGAAGTCAAATGCCTTAGGCACTACGCCACCAGAGCTCCTTGTGTGTGTGTGTATGTGTGTTTATCAAAAAGAAACATATGTGTGTGTATATATACACACATATATACACACACATATACATACATATAAAAAAGCAAAAACAATGAAGAAAATGATGTATTTTCTATTTAAACTTTTTTTTTAATCCCAAACCACATATTACCTCTATATATTTAAAAAAAAAAAAAAAAATTCCACCAGTTCTACAAATAGCTCACAAGAGGGAGAAAACTTGTCTTACCTGACAATCTTTTGGGGGACAAAGTCTTCCAGGGGCTTCTCAGAGTAAGAGTCACTCAAGTGAAATATACTGACTCTTCCAAACTTCCCAAAAGGAAAGGAGACAGTCAGCCCCTCATTGGGAGTCACCTTTAACACTCGGCCCATGGCCACTTCCCCTTTCTCAAGCTTGTGAGGACCTGGTGGGAGATTAGGAGAAACAGAAACTGAGCCAACAAAGAAGCTGGAATGCTATCCACCCATAAGCTGGAGAGGGCAAAGGCTGCCCAGGCTGAGTGGGCTAGAATGACCGTGAAGGCCCAGACTACCACACTAAATAGCAAAAAAAAAAAAAAACAACAACCCAGGGCCACGTGGTGGACACCCTTTCTGAGGGATTTGAGAAAACCAGTACCAGTATACGTAAAGGTGCATTGGACAGTAATGGAGTAACACCAGCCCCAGAACAAACTCCCAAGAGAAGAACTGTTCCAAGAAGTCACCGAACTAGGCTTTCTGAGGACTCCAATCTCAAAGGCATCATTCAACATGGACAATGATTGAAGACCCCTCCCCACACTTCCCATCCTGCCATGCCCCCTTCCCTTCCCTGACCAGACACTGTTTCAGCACCTCACCTATGAGTGATAGACACAAGAAGGCCTTGGAGGAGTCTGGCCCAACCACAGTGGCCTTTAGGGCCTGGCCAATCCGGAACTTCTTATCTGGATGTTTCAGAACCTGGAAGGACAGGAAAATTCCTCTAAGGTGAAAAGTCTGTCATATACGCCAAATCATATTATTTTAAGTCTCCACAGCAAGTATCTCCCAAGCCAATACCTAATATAAGGGCACAGAGTTCCTTGTACCCACTGTGAACACACATCAAATCAAGTTTAGAGAACGTGGGTCTCTTTCCCCAGATACCAAGCACACTGACCTTGAAGCTAAGAGAAGTGAGCAACAAGGGAATTCTCCCTCGGATGTCTGGAGCAATCTCTACTTCAAGCCATTTCTTAACCACGTTGTACTAGGGGTGGGGGAAAGAGAAATGGAGTAAGGCAGATACAAACATCTCTTTTGTTCCCTCTATTAAAATAATGACTCTCCTAAGACCACAGAGCTGAATGGTCCTAATCCCGCACCCCTACATCCACTGTGGTGCCCAGCCCCCACTTCTCAAAGGCTTCAATCACTCAGAGCCTTGCTCTGGGCTTTCACTAGTCTAGCAGGACACACACCACTTGCAATGCTGTGAGGCAAAGAAGACCAATCCCACTGACCTCTGTCGCCTTCTCCAAACTCACCTGTGGATTCTGATCCTTCACTGCTTACACAATGTCCTGTCCTGAACATACACCCCTATTTTCAAGTCCATTCAACAAAACACTTAGCCAGCCACCATGCTGTCTATGCACATAGCATCACAGTGACAAATAAAAGCAGTTTCTGCCTTCAAGGAGATTAGTCTCCAAAGATAAGTCAAATGAGCAAGTAAATAACTAGAGCAGCAAGCAATGGGTAGGAGGTTCAACATGCTGTAAAAATATGTAAGAGCTAATGACAGGATCTGTGCTGAACCCTGAAGGGTACGCAGGCTATTCCAGGTGTGGCAAGCAGTGAATGAAAGACAAAAGAAGGTACAAAAGGTACTCTGGGTGACTGGTGCACAAGGTGCATGATGTCAGATAACAAGGAGCCTTAAAAGCCCTCTAAGAAATCGGGAGATGTCTACAGGACTCAAGCATCAGCAACATGCTGTGACAGATGTCTACAGGAGAAAAATCTGACCACAAAGAGGAGTTATCCCCCGAGATCATGCCCAGTGTGACATCAGACATTCCAACCTGCACAGTCCACACCGACTGCTTCCACTTAGGGTTAGAGTGCACACTCCAGCATCCAAGTGCTTACTGCTTTGCACTGAAGCTGAACTTTATGAAAGGTATTGTTTTTCAGTGCTACAGAGTCCATTTTCGACTCATTGTGACCCCATGTGACGGAGCAGAACTGCCCCATGGGGTTTTCTTGGCTGTAATCTTTATGAAAACAGATCACCAGGTCTTTCTCCCATGGAGCCACCGGGTAGGTTCAAACCACCAACCTTTCAGCTAGTAGCCTAGCACCTAACTGTTTGCACCACCAGGGACCAGGGCTCCTTTTATGAAAGGTAAGAATCTAAAATCCAGTACTGCATTAATTTTAAGTCTTGTCCTATGATACATTTTCCTCTCCTTTTATAAACTTAAAGTAACTTGGGTTTAGTTTAAAATCCAAACATGTTGAATTTGGAGTTGCTTGTTAATTGTTTTATAAGCCGTAACTTTAGCTGCCCAGTGAGACCAGAAGTTTCCTAGGAGAAGAGACTGCGTATCATCTCCCACAGACCCAGCGTGGTAGCAGAAGACTCAGGTGCCCAGTGCTAATGGCCTTTGTCTCCAGTCTCTCCCCCTTTTCTTCTGAAAGAAGCAAGGTGTGTGCTACTCACCCTCTTCAGAAAGCAAGTCACGGTCTGGCCAACCTGGTACTGTTTAATCTTCTCCGAGGGACTAACAGAGTGAGTGTTGAGAGCAGTGTGGCCATCCTTCTCCAGTTCACTGTTGGCAGAAAGGCAAAGAAAAGAGGTAACCAAGCTCTGGACAAGGCTTCTGGTTTCAATCCATCTCCCCACAAGTGGTGATTTTTTCAGAAGATATAAAGCAGTCTGATCCATAGGTCCATCTACTCATGTTTCCTCGCTCTTGACACTGACAAGCATCGGTGAATGAAGCTAGCTGCCCATGACTGGACAAATGACCCCAGCCCTGGGGTCTGTCTTTCTTAGAAATAATCCATTTTTATTCTGATCCCTTCAAGACATGGACCAAAGCTTACCCTCTGGAAGTTACCTTGAAGGCCCTTCCATAGCATCCCTAGACACAAAAGCCTGACAAGCACGATGAAAAAATGACCCCAGTCAAACTGGATCTACTACATGGAAATACTGACTTCTCCCCTACATAGAATCCCTCATGACACACTCCTCTCTACACAATCCCTCAGAGCACATCTAAAATGCCAGCTCAGCCTCCAGTGACCAGGAGGTAGTTCACACTGAAAGAACAGCTATTCTTGGCTATGTGTTATTCAGTTAGGGAATTACTGAGTTCTAGAAAACCGGGTTGAGAGCAGAAATGTTTCTCTTTAGTAGATGCTGACAAACAGCTGTAATCAGCCTTTACAGTGATACTTAAACTCTATATGAAGCTTTTAATTTTCAGGTAATTCCTCTAACCAGTCACAAGAACTATCCTGATTAAAAAAGTAAGACAATTTGAACATAGAGAGTTGAAATAAGTCACAACACTGGCCAAATCAAGACTAGACTGGAGGCTTCCTATTCCAAGGCCTGGTCTCTTCTCATGAGACCACACTGCTGGTGGTGTCCTCACCTTGGTCGAACACTCAGTTCTGGGATGGTTCGAATAAATCTGGGGTGACTTATTGGGAGAAACCTGGAGAAATAAACAAGATCAAGTTATTTGCATTATTCTCAACAACACTGTAAGGTGGAGACAAGGGCTTCTCTCTACTCCACCCCCAGCCAAACTTGCTGAGGAAAACCACCCTGCTCCGTCACAACACTACCCAATGGCCAGGAGATGTGCCTGAGGGTTTCCATTCCCGTTCTTTGCACTAAACATTAAGAAGTTGATTCAACTGATCTTTCAGGAATGTCATATTAGACCTTGAAAACACTGTTCCTTACAGATTATATACTCTAAATTTTCATTTAAAGATGAAGAAACAGGTCTAGAGAAAATAAATGCCTTACTGAAGATCACACCATTAGTGACTGAAGTTAATATGCAATATTGGCCACTTTGAAGTCTTTTTTTTCTGTTACATCAAGAATTTCTTCTGCAATAATGCATGTTGTAACTAGATTTAAAGGAACTAAGGAATGTAGTTGAGGACAGATTATAATAACTGCTAATGGATACTAAGCAATAAGCACATACCAGGCAACTCAACAGGCACATTTTAAGATACATGTTCTCTTTCAATCTTTGCAATGACCCTACAAGACAGTCACAACTACTAGTGTTACTATACTAATTCCAGGAGTTCTGGTGGCATAGTGCCTAAGGCATTTGACTGCTGACCAGAAGGCTGGCCGTTCAAACCCACTAGCCACTCCTCGGAAGGAAGGTTGGGCAATCTACTTCCATAGTGATACCACCTTGAAAACCCAAGGAGAGGTCACTATGTTAGGAAAATACAACTTAGAGTTAATTATGAGCACACGATCACATAATTTTAAGAGGCAAATTTGAAATTCAAACCCACGTCTGACTCTTAACCTATGTTCTTAACCACTATACTACATTCCATTTTAAAAAGAATCATAAAATAATATTCTTTGGTAAGCATCTATTGTCAAAGAATGTGATTTACACACAACTTTTTGGAATCTGCCTATGTTCTCATTCCTCTCCTACCATTACAATATTTCCCCTCAAAGCCTGAAGCTGACCAATTTCCACAGCCCACCCCCACAAAGCCTCCATACTTGAATGTCTTCACGTCTCGCCCACCAATCACCCGGGCAGTGACTGTCTTCCCAATTTTCAGCTTGCTAGTAGGAGAGGTCCCCACTGGAACATCATCTAGAATGTGAGAGGCATGGATACAGCCAATGACACCATCTTCCAGGGTCACAACCACATGGGTGGCCTTAATGGACTTGACAGTTCCTGTGACCATGTCCCCAATGGAGAGGGTGTGCTTCTTTACAGTCCCTACAACCAGAGTTGGATCCGTTTCCTCATCTTCATCCACTGTCTCAGACTCTTTCCGGGTCTGTCTCATGGTCCTCTTAGCAGCTGGACCCTCAACAGCCAAAAGAAGACCAGTCACTCCTGGTTGTGTGGTTCTGAGGGTTAAGGAGACACCTTGTCCCACCTGTAACTTCTCTGACTCAAAGCGGAAGGTGTCGTTGAGGTGAGAGGTCAGGGAGAAAACTGCCAGGTGGCCAGTCTCTACCAAGGAGGCAATGGCAAAGGACTCCTCCAAGTGCTGCACAGTTGCTTGGTGCTCACTGCCTTTCTTCAGCTGGAAAACAGAAAACCCACCATTCCCACCTTCCTTAGAGAACATGGTCACTCGTTCATGGCCCCACTGGACCAGTGATGGGGAAACTCAGGGAAACCCTCTGGAGTCCAAGGGACCCAAAGCTGGTCTGAGCTACAATAAACTACTCTTCACTCCCTAATTAGACCTAGCTTTCCTCTTCTATAAACTGAAGTGGCTTGAGTAAACTTACAGCTCCATATCAAAAATCATCAGAAGTTTGTTTTTACTTTAGATTCCTAGGCCCTGTCGTAGAACAAGTGAATCAGAATTTCAAGAGGTATCTCAGTGATTCTGACGCACAGCCCGGTGACTTCTAGAAGCTCCCCAGCTTTGAGACCCTGTGGTTCCTGACTTTGTCTTATAGTTCTCCACCTGATTTTCTACTCTTTCAATCAGTCAACAAATAGAGTCATTGCTGAGAATGTACTGGGTACAAGGCACTAAGCCTATCTTCCCCCACAAATCCAAATTCTGAGAGATTAGTATTGTTTTCTATTCTGTTTCTCTTGAAAAACCAGAAACTAAGGATCATATCTACATAATTTCCTGTACCATATGCTGTGCAATTTGGTGATTAGTAAGTGCGTTAGATGATGATCAAATACATCCATCACCCAGAGAAAAATACTACTGATTTTGAGATTTTCCTCAAAGCCTCTCTTCTATACACAAAAGGACACAGAAGGCAAGATAGGAGAGGATGTGGATCAGAAGTAGCCTGTAGGTCAGAACCACTTGCAAACAGGTTTTGTCTGGTACATACATTGTTTCTTCTAAAAAAAAAAAAAAAAATAGTTTCCTATTCTGCTGTGTACATTCTCAACAACAATAAATTATAAATAATATCATTTCCAATTTTATAAAATCAAAATACTTAAAAAGAAAATTCTGCCTTCTCCTAAAAAGCAAAGCCCTTACAGCCAAACAAAAGACAGACATACGAGCTGAACATTTACATTAGGTAGATATACTCCTTGGAGAGATCAATCATGGGAGAAAGAAGGGCTGTTAATGCACAAGGAGATGGCTCTGGGTGCAGGAATGCATGGGAGGGAAGGACACAGGGAAGAGGTAACTAGGGGGAGGAAGTGGGAGGGGAGCTGTTGCATTGTGGGAAATTGTAGTCAATGACATGAGACAAAGTATATGTGAGCTGCTATATGGAAAATGCATTTGCTCTGTAAACTTTCACCCAAATCACAAGAAAAATTAAAAAAAAAAAAAGCCTTAGCAACACTGGACCCATATATTCCCACCTGGCAACACCCAGATGAAGCAGAGTAGCCTCTGCCCCTCCAGGTTGTCTCCAGCCCAACAGAGTCCTATTACTCCCACTCCCTAAATTATCTGCCTACTTCACCCATTTACAGTACCTGGTTGGCCCTAAAGAAAGAGCGGCCACATAACTGATCATGTGCTCCAGAGCCTAAATCAGTAACCACACCAGGACAAGAGGCACAAACTGAGACTGTCATGGACAAATCCAGGCATAGGGTGACCATACCTGCAAGCATTTGAGCCAAGCACATGCTGTGCAACGGGTGTAATGTGAGAGCGGGGAAATGGAAAAATGGAAGTCATGAGCAAGTTACCTTTTTAAGTTTTTTATTCACCAAGTCCTGGCAAAGGGAAACGTGCACTTCCAACTCTAACATGTCAACATTTAAGACGACAGCCTTCTTTCTCTGCCCAGACTCCACCTCCTGCCCTGCGATGCAGAACCAAACACAGCATTATCATCCTGCTGGGGCAGGGTAAGGAAGGACAGCCAGCATCCTTCCTGGGTACTGGTGCTATCTCCAAAAGTCTTGCAAGCCCTTAGGCTTTTCCAAGAAAGGAAAGAGGACATATGTCCTGGGTCTATGTGAACCACAGCTAGGGAGACCCAGGACTATTTTCCATGCTTCAAACTCAGGTCAACCCTACTTCATACAACCTAATATATAAAAACCTTGCTTTATTTAATTATGACAGTAAAAGAATTCATACGTAAACTCTCTTTAGAATGTTGTCAGTTGTCTTGATTTACATCCCCGTTGGCATACCAATAATTTCTATGTATTTTTAAATCCTGTTTCCAGAAGAGGGAGCAATGGGCAATGGGTTCCCCCACTAACCATGATGGGCAGACAGAAGCCGTCAACACTCACCTGCCCGATGATATCTGCTGGCTTTCAGGACCAGGCCTGGCACTGGGCCCCCACTGAACACCACAGAGCCATCTTCCAACACCTCTTGCACCTCTAGGTCAAGGACCATTCCTGGGGTCATCTCAGCTAGTGTCTGGATCAACACAGAGTCTGTCAGACAGACCCAAAGGAACAAGATTACTAAGAGAAATAACATTCTTACCATTCCTTTCAAGTATATTGTCACCATGAAGGACAACAGGGCTGTGGAATGCTGTCCAGGTAAAATCACTTATTGCAAAAATGTCCAGTATCAAATCCAGCTCAATTGGCATAACATACTACCCAAAACATTGTTCCACATCCTACTTTGGCAAGTAACGACTGGGATCTTAAAAGCTTGCAAGCAGCCATCTAGATGCAATGACAGGTCTCGCCTCATCCAGAGCAAAGACGAATGAAGAAAACCAAAGATTCATGGAAACAATTAGTCCAGTCGACTGGTACACCATGCAATCCTCAGTCTGTATGACTTTGAGACCAGAAGAACTAGATAGTGCCTGGCTACCACTGTCAACCCCTCGGAGAGAGAAATCTATGTAGGAGATCCTAGATAGAGTGGAAGAACAATGTGGAATAAAACTCAAACGCATTAAAAAAAAAAAAGGACCAGGTTTGCTGATCTGATAGAGCCTGATGGAACCCCTGAGACTATAGCCCCTAGCCGCCCTTCAGCTCTGGAACTGAACCCACTCCTGTGGCTTCCAGCCAAACAAAAGGTAGGCATATGAGCTGAACATTTACATTAGGTAGATACACTCCTTGGAGAGATCAATCATGGGAGAATAAAAGGGCTGTGTATGCACAGGGAGACAGCTCAGGGGACAGGAGTGCATGGGAGGCAAGGACACAGGAAGAGGTAACTATGGGGAGGAAGTGGGAGGAAAGCTGTTGCACTGTAGGAAATTGCAGTCAATGTCATGAGACAAAGTGTATGTGAGCTGCTGTATGGAGAGTGACTTTGCTTGTGAACTTTCACCCAAATCACAATCAAAATTAAAAAAAAAAGAAAGTAGAAAGAATCTATGCCTTTGAATTTTGTTGTCATTGTTAGGTGCTCTGAAGTCCACACGTTTTCCATTTTGACATAGCATTTCATCTCGTAAACTTTGTCTCATGAATTTAAAAAAAAAAAAAAAAAAATATCCAGAATCCATAAAAACTCCTGCCAGAGACAAGAGACTCATGTCCCTTGCTGCTCCTACCTGGCCACCACCTGTGAGAACAGCCAACAAATATCAGAAACAAAAACTCTCCTTTAGTTTCTGAATTTTCATTCTTTTTATTTAGAATTGACCCTCTCAAGCCTCTTACTCTCAAATCCCCATTAGGGTTCCAACAAGCCTAAATAACGATTCAGTCTGAGAGAGTCAGAATAATTACCCCTCTAGAACGTTCCTGTTCCATTTTATCATCCAATAAAAATATTTTTTAAATGAAAGAATGACAAGTAATTAATGTAGTGAATGAATTCACTACAAATGCAAACCTGAGGCCAGAGAAGTCAGGGAAATGTGGATTCTGGACTAGGAGAGGAATCAGGACAATGTCTGGGATACTGGGAGATCTTTGTCTTAATGTGGGTGGTAAACAGGGGTGTTCATTTGATTTACTGAGCTGTACGCTCAATGGTTTGTGCATATTACATATGTTACCCTTCCATGAAAAAAAAAGTTTATAAAAAAATTTATTTTTTTAAATTTTGGGGAGCCCAACAAGTCATCCCCGTAACAGACAGGCTCAATTTATGCACACCCTCCCCACTAGCCCCCCTCCGCTGCCCTCCTGCCCCACCAGACAGGGCCCTGAGGCACATACCTCGGTTCCTCATGAGGCTGCGCACGCCCTGCAGCTCCTCCAGGCCCTGGCTCAGGAGGAGGAGGCTGGTGGTGGCCACATCCCCGAGGGTGCAGTCCGACAGCCGCAACGACAGCAGCATCCGCTGCTTCTCCTCATCCACGTTCGTCACCTTTGCAACTACAGTCTGCCCCTCCACAAAATGGTCACTTGTGGAGGTCACAAATTTGTCACTCACGACCTGAAGCAAACAATGAACAGAAAATGGGCAAAGGAAAGGAAGTAGCCTGCCCCTTCACACCAACTCCAGGTTTCATGACCCTGTTCTATTCTCCAGAGAGCCTCTAAGAAAAAGCGCCTGTGTGCGTACAGCTGAACTTACAGCTTTGGGGGCCAATCCACTAAGACCGGAGGGGAACTGGACGAACACTCCGTAGTCCTTGATGCTCTTCACAAACCCAATGAGAAGCATTCCAGGATGGATTTCTGAGAAGCTCTTGGGATCCTGGCCACCTTCTACTGCAGAGACCAAGGCTGGCTTCCTACAAAGGACCTAGTGGCACTTCATCAAGGAATGTTTCAGGAATGGCAGATGCTGTTTCCATCTCCAAGCTCCACTCCATACCTCTAACCACAAGGACTCTCGACGTGTGGCCCCCAGACCTGCAGCATCAGCATCACCTGGAACTTGTTAGAAACACAAATTCTCAAGCACCACCACACCCCTTCGCTGTCAAGTCAATTCTAACTCACGGCAACCCTACGGACAAGAGCAGAACTGCCCCACTGGGTTTCCGAGGCTGAAATCTTTATGGAAGCTGACTGCCACATCTTTCTCCCGCAGAGCAGCTGGTGGGTTCGTACCACTGACCTTTCAGTAGCAGCTGTGTGCTTCACCACTATGCCACCAGGGCTCCTTCAGCACCATGAATTAGAAACTACTGAATTAGAAACTCTGGGGGCTGGGCCCAGCAAGCTGTGTTTAAACAGGTGCGCCAGGTGATTGTGTTGAGCACTAGTTCCAGAATCACCATTTAGTCCTTTCCTTACTAACTCACCTGCAGATTACTAGAGGGAAGCAAAAAGGAAATGGCTCAATCCATGATTTGATAGCTGGATCAGCTATGACAATCCTCCAGCGTCCTCACCTCACAGTGATCCACCCCACTTCACCTGCTCTGCCTATCTCCACTCTACGGAGATTTTACTTTACATTTTATGAGAAAAATGGCCACGTCCTCTTTCAGAGTGCTGACACGAAGACCAAAGGAAATACTTCTTAGCCCCATGTTCTTGATGGGATGAAGGGGAGAGGGAAGGAGGGCAGTGGCTACAGTAATTGTTCCAAGTCAAGGAGCAAGCACTGGAGGCCCAGAAGGCAGGAGGTGCTCCTGGGAGTGTCCCCCTGGGCCGTGCATGTCACACCACCTCACCCCAACACCCAGCACAAGAGCTCCCACTATGCTCCCACTCTTTGGTGGCATTTCTGGCTCATTTGACCCTACTACTAGCATCTACGGGCAGCACTTCCTCAACCCTGCTCTTACCTCCCACCAGGGGAATAGCCTGGAAAGCACAGACTTGGTCACTAGTTTGGATCTGTGGAGTTATTTCTGCAGTCAAATATCTGATCTCCTTTACCGCCATCGGGTTTCCAAACAGGAGCAGAGCCTGGCCTGGAATTTCTCACCTGAGGGCCCATGACTCCCCCACCACCTTCTGCTACTTCACAGATGCCAATAAAGGATACAACACGCCCCTCGCTCTGCAGACACAGGACCCTATGGAGGGTGTCACCAGCCTGAAGCCAGTGATACAGCAGCGGGCCGTTGGCAACATGGTCTGACAAGTGAGGCACAGGGAGGAGAGCAGGGATGTTGTGGGGAAGGACAGTCACCTCCAGCCCTTCTTTGGTCTTCTCCACAACCTTCACATCTACCAACTGCCCAAGGAAGAGAAAGATAAAAAATACCAGTCACTTTGAGCAGGAAGCAACCTAGTCTAGACCTGGCAAAGTTCAGAGACATCAGACTCCAGGAACAGGAATCACTGAGGTCAAGATCAGGGAAACAGCTTTCCAAAGCCCCACGCACAAGCCAACATATGTATGTGTGCACATATATACCAGGCCGACTGGTGGGCTCTTATGTTATCACTCCTCTCCCATGTTCCTCAGACCTGCCAGTTAGCCCTAGGAAACAGATTATAAAGAAGGCAGCAGTGCACTGCTAGAAAGCCATACTGTAAATAGCTTCCGTTAGGCCTAGCACACAGGAAAGAACAGGTATGAGGTCCTGTCTCAAGAACCCCTCCAGCCCTAGAATCTTATCTGGCTACCTCTATCTTTCCCTCCACGGATTCCAGCATCCAGGTGTCAGTGGTACCCCTCTCTCTGCCACTATGAGAGCAAATAGCTTGTCTGGAGATGTCTAGGTAAGTACCTGCCCAACATGAACAGCTCTTCTTTTCTTCTGACTCCCTCCCTCATGTTCCTTCTTTGCTTCCGGATCACTCAACAGCTTGAAGGATAAGAGCATTCTCTCTTTGGTTGGCTCACAGTTCAGCACTGCAACCTTCACCACCTGGGGAGAAATCCACACAGGCTTGGCTAACTCTACCCAGTAAGCCCTTCAGGACCAGGAGTGGGATGTCCTCCAACATTTCTGTGGCAGCCCTGGCAGACAGATCCACCAAGACCTTGAATGAGAATCGAAAGGAAAGAAAAGAAGAAATGCACTGAAAATGACACTGAATCCTTGCAGATGAGCCTTTTGGACAAAAGGAAAACATGAACAATTTTTTGGTACAATCCAAAGATTTTTAAAATTACTTTTTTCTGAACAAGCCCAAACTCATTATTTTTACAGTACTGCCCTCTTGTGGTAACAGTGGCCTCAAAAAAAGTTCAGATCTGAGAGACCCCCAGTTCATTACAGGTAAAGACAGGTATCTTCTGGATCATGGGCTTATGCCCATTAAACTGCTAGCTTCCATAACCCCCATTGAGGGTCTCTCTCTGGTCTGTTCCTCATCCTCTCTACTTAGACAGCCCAGGCCCACTGCCCCACACACATTCTTCTTCGTTTCCTTAAAAAGCAGCCTTCCAGGCTCAGGACCATAGTCTTGGGGACACTAGGGTCAATTGACATAACATAGTCCATAAAGACAGTGTTCTACATCCTACTTTGATGAGTAGCAACTAGGGTTCTTAAAAGCTTGTAAGTGGCCATCATAAGATGCAACTATTAGTCTCTTCCCCATCCAGAGCAAAGAAGAATGAAGAAAATCAAAAACACAAGAAAATAATTAGTCCAAAGGACTCAAGAACCACGTGAACCCCAGCCTCCACAACTCCAAAATCAGAAGAACTAGATGGTGCCCACCTACCACTGCTGACCACTCTGATAAGAGGTCCTGGACAGAGTCGGGGGAAATGTGAAACAAAACTCAAAATCATAAAAATGTCCAGGCTTGATCTTAAAAGCTTGTAAGCACCATCTAGATGCAACGATGGGTCTCTCTTCATCCAGAGCAAGGAAGACTGAAGAAAACCAAAGATGCATGGAAACAATTAGTCCAAGAGACTGGTATACCAAGAGATCCTCAGCCTATATGACTATGAGACCAGAACTAGATGGTGGCCTGGACAGAGAGGGAGAACCATGTAGAACAAAACTCAAAATCATAAAAAAAAAAAGGACCAGGTTTGTTGGTCTGATTAAGCCTGGTAAAACCCCTGAGACTGTAGCCTCAAGCTACATTTCAGGCTTCAATTGAACCCATTCCTGTGGCTTCCTGCCAAACTAAAGATCGGCCTATGAGCTGAACATTTACATTAGGTAGATAGACGCCTTGGGCAGATCATTCATGGGAGAATAGAAGAGCTGTGTATTCACAGGGAGACAGCTCAGGGGGTAGGAGTGCATGGGAGGGAAGGAAGGACACAGGGAAGAGGTAACTATAGGGAAGAGGTGGGAAGAGAGCTGTTGCACTGAGGGAAATTTTAGTCAATGTCATGAGACAAAGTGTGTGTGAACTACTGTATGGAAAATGAATTTGTTCTGTAAACTATCACCCAAATAACAATAAAAATTTAAGAAAAAAAAAAAAAAAAAGCAGCCTTCCTACTCCTTCAAATCTGTGTTCATGGGTTTCCAAGGACGAGGCCTTTCCAGGGGAAGGGATACCTGGCCAGGGTAAAAGACGGTCTCCGGGGCAGGGATATACTCAGCACTCAGCTCATGCTTGGGCACGAGACCCTGCACATCGTTGTAGAACTTCACAATACAGCCACAGTCCTTAACCCTGAAGATGAAGCCATGTGTCTGCAGACTGGGTTTGGCATCAGCATAGCAGGTAATGGCAGGGAGTTTGGATTCAACCAGCGTTTTCTTCAGGGTCATCATTAATTTCTTGGCTTCAGGGTCACACAACAAAACCTAGGGGACAGATATTGGCCATCATCAAGTTATCTGTTATCATGAGAGCCACTGAGTTATCTCTGCAACCCATTGAACCCAAAGGCCATAGGTCATTTCCCTAGAACCTGCTTCTCCTTCCCCTGAGAATCCTCATTTGCAGATCCTCCACACCTCCTGCTGGATGACCATCGAGAGAGTATTAATCTCTATCTCAAATGTTCTTCCTCCAAGAAGTCACTGGAAACTTCTCCCTCTTGGCCCCTGCAGCACTCACTATCTTAGGGCACCTCCAAAGTGTTGTGTTGCAATGTTTTCTACACAGCCTTAGCTCCTTCCTAAAAGACCTTGCCTCTAGTCTAACAGAATGAATGATGGAGGCAACTAACCACCTCACTAGTGTAATTTGTTAGCTGTAAACTAAGAGATGCAATTATCCCTCAGAAGGTCACCTCCTTGAGTTTGGAGAAACTCCTCCATATACCACAATGAATCTTCACAACCCTGTGAAGCATCTCTTGACCCTATACTTTATTATAAATCATGCTCCCTTCAGCAGTTTTGTTTGGGCTGTTTCTGGGCCTGGAATATACCCCCTGCTCCTCCCCAATCTTCCAAATCCTATTCATCTTTTGTAGTTGAGATCCTACTTCTGCCAGTAATCTAGAAGCATTCTTGTCATACAGAGCTGAATTAAAACTGCCTCTGTCATTTCCCAGCTGCAAAATGAGGCTAACAATACCTACCTTAGAGGGTTGTTTGAAAAGATTAGAGATGATGAGTGTCATGTGCCTAGCAGAGCAACCCACACAGAATACATTTCACACGGCACTTCCTATTGATATCATTATGCGTGATTCTTGCTGCCCAGGCTACCCTCATGCCCCCTTTCTGAGACACAGCCAGAGCATGACAGTCTGCACCAAACCATGTGGCAAAAGTCACACACTGGCTTGCTCTTCCCTCATGTATGAATATTCTGACTCCCAATTATATTACATAATTCTCAAGATCAGGGAACCAGTTTTCTCTTCCCAATGCCAAGCACAGTACTGGACACACTGCAAATATGAAGTGCTCGTTTGGTGGCAAAAAGCAAAAACCCCAGCTGAGAAGCACTGCTCTCTTCCCACTTGGCCAAAATTGCTCAAGAGGCTTACCCGACACTTGACCTCATCACCAATGTGGTACTTCTTTTCTGGATTCTTCATCAGGATGTCGGCCAGGTGCATGGGAGGTACCAGGCCCCTGATTCGCTCGCCCACCTTCACCAGCATCCCATATGGCTTTATGGTCAGCACTGTGCCCTGCGGAGTCCAAAGAAAAGATGCCATAATGCCTCAAGAATGGTCCTTCTTCCATTTCTTACAGCAATGCATGTCTTATCTCTTTCAAAACCCAACCTTCCTACTAATACTCCATTACCACAGAACTTCTAAGCTGGCCTCCTAACCACCATCAAATCCCAGGATTTATGATCTACTGCCTCTGGATGGTACCAATAAAACTTTACTTTAAAATTAATTATATGTCATCCAAGGGAAGAGAAAGAAATTGTAGCTAGCAGGCAAAAGGGCAAAGAATATTTCTTTAAATATGTTAACACAAGAGCTAATGAGCTGACAGTTAACCTGTGAACTGAAGAATGTCTGAAGATGAGGAGTAACTAATTATATGTGTGTGAGGTCTTACCTTTACCACTGCCCCTGGTTTGATGTCATAATATCTAAGGTACTGGGCTTGAATGATGGATCTAAAGCAAAAAGAAAATGCAAGATTAAATGAGTTATGGCAGAGGCAAAATTCAGGGCTACCAAAACCATGCTGTCAAGACAGGGAACCCTCACAGAGCAGGATCAGGGGAGACTGTGATCTTGTCTACATGCAGGAGCACACCACACCACTGCCCCAGCATATGTTACCAACAGACTTACGTCCGCAGAGAAAGCAAAGCCAATTCATCCATTGGGCTGTAGTCGATGATTCTACACTTATGAGTGTTTCCAGGCTTAAAGATCTCAGGTTTGAAGATGTTCTTAGAATCAGAGAGATGGCTGAACTACAAGGTACCAAGTGATTAAGGATAAACAGAAACAACAGATCAGAGTAATAATAGAGCATTCCAAGATGACTCAATGTTTATCACCTATTACAAAAATGCCTGCTAGAGTAACTTCTCTAATTAAAAAAAAAAAAAAAAAAAATCACTTTTCACCATCACAGAATCTCTATTAGGTTAGAGAATAGTCTAGACCAGGGGTTGGTAAATTACACACCATGGTCTGGCATCTATTTCTATAAATAAAGTTTTACTGGACCACAGCCAAGGCCATTCATTTATGTTGTACTATGACTGGCTTTATGCTACAACAATGGAGTTAATAAGTTACAAGACCCTATGGTACACAAGCTTAAAATACAGAAGCAGTCAAGGACCCAGGTGTCCTAAAATCTTTGTAATGACAAGATCCTGACCAAACACGGTAACCTCCTCACCCGGGCAAAGGCAAGAGCCCCATCCTTCAGTTTGAAAGTGGCCCCAGCCTTGCTGAAAAAGCCATGGACAGGAACGTCATCCAGCACAGCTCCAAGGTGCTGGCAGGAGAGCCGGGTGAGTGAGCGCCCAGGCTGCAGGAAGACAGGGCGCAGGCTTAGTCGCACAACTCTGGTCTGAGGATGGATGCAGAGGATGCAGGCCTTTACCTGGACAAGGGAAAGGGAAGAACGAAGAGGAGGCACAAAGGAGGTAAGACACCCTAGAGCCAACTCCCTGTGTGCTAATCAGGTTATGCACATAAGCATAAAAATCAGCTTGTGTAAATAAGAAGCATGGGGAAAATTCAAATGCCCCAAAGAGACTGTGCCTCCCTGTGTCAACACGTAAATAATGAGCAGAGTTACTGATCAGAGGCTCATCTGAAACATTCCAGGAAAAGCCTGGTCCGATCACACGGTTATACCATCAGAATGTGTCAACCATGTGCACAAATACTACTACTGGGAGGAAAAAATGTCTAGAAACAGGTTAACCAAAATGTTAATAGTGTTATCATTAGGTCGTGGGGAAGCAGAAAGAAATAATTTTTGGGTTAAGAAAATTTTTCTGAATGGCATATATTGGCATTTTCTTTCTAAATATACACAATCACTGCAGAAAATTAAAATGTATGAATAAGAATAGGAAATTACCCACAGTTACTCACTATTAAGACTTGGTTGCATAATCTTCTAGTATTTTAACCATGTATACTTTTTCCCTTCAAAATTGGGTCCATAATACTTTTTAAAGCTATCTGTCTATGTAAATATATCTTATTCTCCTATGTTAAAGTCTTCCCAAATATTTTAAATTATAAAAGTCTCACCATACATGCACACACACAAAAAAAAACCATAAAGAAGAATATGAAGTAAAAACTAAAAATTGCCTTCCCTTTCACCTACTTCTCTAATCTCAGTCCCCAAAGGTAACTACTCCTTCTAAGACATCTTTATCCCCCCACCTCCTCTCTGCACACCCATATACATTCAATCCCAGGAGATAACCCATGACCCTGGGCAGCTAACTGAAACCCCTCTGGAATAAAGACAGAGAGAGGTGCAACAGTTCTTACCGCTTGGTTTGAGAAATATGTTCCAGTCTTCTTGGGCTCCAGGTGCATGAAGTCAACTAGACCCGTGAAGAATGAGAGGAAGTTTACCGTAAGACCAAGGGGAGTCACCTAGACAAAAACAGAACAGGAGGTTATGAAAAGCATATCTCTGAAGGAACCAGGAATGTGTGAGACACTGTTCACACTACACTTGCAAAGGCCAAACACTAAATGCCACATTATCCTGATAACTATGTGTCTTCTTTCCTCCAGCTAATCTTATCAATTAAAATTGACTGGCAAAATAGTGTCATTGTTAACTGGCTGATTCTCTGTTCAATAAACTCAGCTCCCTTCCAGCATAAGAGAGACCATCAATCCTCCTACTCTCTAGGATTCTAAATAGGTGGAGTGCACTTTGCACAACTGTCCTTCGGGAATTGCCAGCCTGACATCGGCTTGGATAAACTGTGGCAAACTTGGTTATTTTTTCAGATTAAGAAGTTAAACATAAATGCTTGCCAAAGGGAGATACTAACCACAACCAAACCAATTTGCCCTACAAAGCCCCAAAAAGCTAAGGAACTGCAAATAACAAGGAACTCAAAAGAATGGTGATGTAGGTAGGTGACTGAAATCAGATTATAAGGTAGTCAGATTGCCACTCCTCTGCCTCACCCTATGACCTCTCCCATCTCCACAAAAAATGAGAGATTCATTTCGAGGAAAACTATACCAGATTCAAAGCACAGCAAGACCTCCGATCCCTTTCTCCCAACTAGCTCCTAGAATTCAGGCAGTCAGGGTTACAGCCTCATGGGAGGAAATTAGTAGATCCTTTCTGGAGAAATCGAACAGTGCCAGGGAAGGCCTACATCAATGACAAAGAACAAGAGACTATCATCCAGAATATGTAAAGAACTCTTCAAACTCAACATTAAAGACAAATAACCCAATTAAAAATGGCCAAAAGATTCAAACAGGCATTTCTTCAAAGAGATACATACAGCTATTAAACACATGAAAAGATACTCAACATCTTTAGTCATCAAGGAAATGCAAATCACAGCCCAGTGAGCTACCACTTCAGACCCAGTTAAGATGGCTAAAAGAAGGCTAGAACAGTAGTCAAAACTGCTTGCTATTAGTTTAATGACAGATGCATAGACCAATGGAATAGAATTGAGAACCCAGAAATAGATCCATCGACCTATAGTCAGCTGATCTTTGACAAAGGCCCCAAA